TGGCACAAAACACATCTAAAGAAAATTTCAATAAAATTCACAACAAATGTAAACGTAAAATTGTCTAGTATCGTCTTGATGAAACTATCGAAATAGGTGATTTTTTCATTACTCCATGTGTTGCTTATATTTTATGTCAGTTATCCCAGTGGGAATGTTTCCGTTGACTTAAGGATTTGATTTTTCGATACACCTTTTTTGAGCAACAAAAACATTCTCAGCAATGCATCGCCAGAAACAGATACCATATCGCAGCCTTGGGTTGACATTTACAAAATATTCCTGATTTAACCTGTTCGATGTTGCAAGTATGTTTCATGTACAAATGCACCAGTCAAGATTCAAGGTTTGGGAGAGTTAGCAATTGGCCTGTGCGCCACTGCGACCCAAAGGGTCTATTTTGGCTCTCTTCGTAACTAAAAAGGTTTATCTAGGTTCGTCTCTCTGGATAGTTACAGCATGGAGTAAGTTGGAGTAACTCATTGCCTCTGGTTAGGATATGTTCAACAAATAAAAACGGACTCTCGATAGACATCCGTATAGTAACGTTGGTGTCCCATTAACACATTCAGTGTTTTCTTCCACTCCCCTTAAGCTTAAATTTCTCTTAAGTCTGCAGTCGCCCGTCAGTAAATCTACCATTATTGGCATGTCTCTCCAAACTTTCCGGAATACTATTTGAAATAAGTCTTAAATTTTTCTTAAAATTAGTATTGGTAGTAAGTAAGTTGAACTTTTTCGAATTTTAGACCGGTTAGACCGGTGAACTGAACCTCGCTCCTTCTGTTTTGGAATAGTTTTTTAATCTAAAATAATCTTATTCTTTATTAGTCTCTTTTGTTTTTTGGTGGCCGAAATCAGCATTGATTGTGCTTGGTTTTCGTAACATCTTCCTAACGGTCGCGTATTGCGCAAATACAACAACCTGGAGGAATTGTTGACATATAGAGAACACCCAATGCGCATTTTAAATTAATTCAAATTATTACGATGATGTCTGCAAGCGATGAATTTTGCATAACGAATTAAATATTTAACTGTTGTTAGTCTTTGTTTGCATAAAGACAAAGCGTTGATACGATAGCGAGTAAGCGAACCAAAGACGTCACGCAATTGTTAAATTGAATTTCTTTATCTAAGACAGAAAAGGTTCGTCCGCGATTTTATATTCTACGCTGGTACGATTTTCGTTCCACAAAAGTTTAACATCGAACAGGAAACCGGAAAAACGAAATGCTGATTGGGAATCGAAATCTTTTTTTATCCAGGCGGTAACATTTTGAATGAAAATACTTTAAACGGACTTAATAATGGGTTATTGAATATTTGCGAGATTGTTCGTGTTTCAAATTCGGTTTGATTAGGGTTATTAGACCAGGATTGTGGTTCAACAATTGAGTTCATCTAACGAAGAAGTGGAAGTGAAAATTATAATTACAGTTTTCCTTGATAAAACATTATTACATAAACGATAAACAAGTCTCTTCTGGATTCACACGAGTTCATATTTATCAGAAAATATCTGCATTTATTACATAGCAGCTACAGCGTTGATTCTACTCGTTACTAAATTGCCCATCATTCCCTCATTCATTTTATATGAAATAATGTGAGCAAAATTATAGTCGTCGCATGTAAACTCACGAAATAAAATCTTCGTATATTCCTTTCCCAGTTTCTTTCTTAGGTACATTTTCAATGTCTTCACACCACAGCATAAAAATGCAATTAATATTTTTTTTACATTTTAAATGTATCACTTCTGAAGAAAATTTGACACCAATTCGCAGAACAACGTTTTCTACTGCTTTCCGACATCCTATTATTTAATTGATATCGTAACAAGCGAACGGAAACGCGTGAGCAGTCAGCATTTCTAGAGACAACTTGAACATTCGACACCCATCTCAAGACACTTCGATCTAGCCTCAATAGAGTGTAGTCAAAGTGAGAAAAAATATAAATAATACACATAACACAAATCATTAGTACTGTATACACAGTGAACATTCGTGTATAAATAGTTAAAACTCTGTACACGAAATAATTTTAAGTTCACTTTAAATTTAACGCTGAAGGACTTATTTAATATCACCGTCGCTTTTGACAAATTAGAAAGATTTTAATCGTTTTAAAAACATAATGATATTAATTTGTCTTGAAAAAAATGCAATGTTACTTAATAGAAATAAGGTAGACACAACACACGCACTAAACTGAAACTAAAGAAATTGAATTGAACAACTCGCTCTGCTTATCCAAACTATTCTCTTCGATGGGCACAAAATGCTTACTGGTCTTGATACTTGATATACTATAATTTTGTCGTAATGAAAAGCTGCTGGAGCATAAAAAAGCATATGTAGCATATTACCGTATCAACTCAAATCAAAATACAAAAAACAGATCGAAAGAATACCTAACCGAAGTAAATGCCTAGGCAAGTGCCTACGACATATATGATTCATTGGAAAGTTCGTTAGTTGTTTGCGTTTCATTAGCACTAAGAAGTACCTAAATATTTCTTGTTTTTTAAGAAAGCAATTGTATACCGATGAGAATATCCAGCGTAGCTTTCTTTTCCAATTGGCCTCTGGCCAGCATTTAATCGTCGCAATATTTTCACCATTACGTTCACTTTTTGCGACAGGAATTTGCAAGATCAGTGTCTATACAATCTCGACACGTTTTAACGGCTACGTACGGTGAATAATTCACGTGCCAGCATTTTATAAACAATTACGACAATTATTATTATTGATTACGTTTTAGTTGCTTTACTTTGACGCCAGGTTAAAAAATTCCGTAATAAAACAGAATGTAATATCAAATTGTTTACAGATATATCTGGTAGCACGTGTTTCCCGTATAAGGGTCATCATTAAGAGCTAATAATGTCAAACGATATGAAGTAAACAAAAATGAAATCGTTAATATGAAACGGGTGTTCTAAGCTGTCCGTTTGTTACATTTTAAACTTAGGTCAACAGTTAATAAAATACAACAGAAAATTGCGTTTATTAAAAAAATTAGTAAATGTATAGGCATCAAATTCCTTAGTTATAGATACGGATTTTGAGAATTAGATTTAAAAACTTAAAAATTTCAACAAACACAAAAAATAATATGAAAAAGAATCCTATAATAATTAAGAATGACAAAAAACATTACAAGTAAAATTAATAAATGTAAACAGGCACACATATAAACAAATATCCAAAGGGTTTTAGGGCTCAGGATACTTTAAAAATACTAACAATTATAACCTGAAATGATAAAGATAAATGTATCAAAGTAAAATTTAATCTATTTTGATGTACATGTTGTAATGGAAATGGTAAAGTTGGTATATAAAATATGGAATATTCTTCATTAGCCATCAATGTTCAAAAATTATTACAACAATGGTACAACAAAATTTGAAATTGAAGAAATGAACCTACTGGTTCAAAATCGACTTCATTTTGAACTAGTCTTTGACATGTTCCTCTGAAGGAAAAATGGTAAGGCTCTAGTTAATTGGATATGTTTAATAGTTTTGATTTTTTTTTATTTTTTAAGTTGAACTCTTCTCATTTGTTTAATACTTCTTGGTGATACGATACCCATCAGACATTGATAGCACGATGAGACCCAAAACATCCCCAAGCAAAACAAGATGTTTTCTTGCTCAAAAAACACACATTTAAATTGGAAATTAAAAGAAAATAACAACACTGTTATAATAACATGTTGGAAACATCGGAGGTAAATTAAAAAACTCAACTAATAGTTCAAAAATTTACAACATATACTTTAATTTCCATTGGCGTGCCCATTCGCCAAAAATAGTATTTATTGCCAAATCGCACATAACTGTTAAACATTGTTTCACTATTAGTCTTCGTCAATGAACTGAATCTATTAAATATGTAGTAAACGGCATAAGCAATTTTTAACTTGACGAATTTTAAACTATAGGCTATTTCAAAAAAATGTAGAGTAATAAAATTGCAAATCCTATGCAGTTGCGTTTAATTTCGTTTTCGATAATAAGAGTAGATCAATTTTGTTCAAATAGCCTTTGCGGTCATTCTTGACCAATTACTTAGTGCCTTCAAAAGTATATTTGTTTAATTTAACGTATTACTATTTGCTGTTAAGCAGTTGTATAAATAGTCCACACCAACGAAAAGATGTATATGCTGTCGGTGAGTAAAAAAGTAACTATTTTAAATGTATATGATTTCATAAAATATTCATACTGGAATTTTACTGATGTACCCGACTGTTTTTAAAATATTGCAGAAAAAAAAGACTAATTGGAATCTCCCAAGAAAAACCCCCCCAGGAGACTAAAAGGCAGTAATGAAGACAGAAAAGTATAATTCCAAGAAAAGTTCATTCTTGCCAGCTTAGCAAATTCGGAAAAGCATAACCGTAAAGCACTTTTATTGCGATGAAATTGTTTGCTGGCGACGAAAATACCAATAGTACCAAAAATGTGGCAAGAGAAAAATAACAAGTGCTTGCTCACCAACCTTTTTTTATACGTATTTTCGCTCAATAACTTGACGTCCCTTTAAAATTCAAAAGCAATCAAATTAATTTTAAAAAAATGTAATAAGGACCTGAGTCAATCAGATTGCTGATGGCAGCTTAAAAGAGCTAAGGTGCGCGCAACGTAATGGTAATCAGTGCAGCAGCGCGATAGAACACCCGCTGGGTGTCAAACACCTGGTCTTTCCCGGTCGAATAACTCGCCAAAAAACGCTCGCAACGCTAAAATTTCTTCACAGGATGGTCTCGCGGACTACAAATACCCGATTTCCTCCAAACTTGCTCGTAGGACGAGAGTCAACGAGCACTTTTCGTAGGTCGGAAAATACGCTTACCGTACCCGAACCTTGACGGTGCGACACACTGACACATTTCCAGCGGATTCGAAAAAATAATCACCGTCTCGCTTCGTACGCTGGCCGTTTACAAAGGCATTGTTTGGCCAAAGAAAAATCTTTTACCTGTCCCGCAATCACAATTGGTAATCCTCTGGGTGTGTGCGTGTGGTGAAAGTCTCCTTCGAGGGCGAGAGCACTGGACACTTCTTTGCCGATTTGAGAGACGTTCGCGATCGAAGACAAATCTCGGTTGACTAGATGCATACGTACACGCGTATATGAGTTCGTACCGGTACTGCGAATGACTCAGCCGCGGAGGAATAAACGCGGGTCGTTCCTTTTTTTACTCGCCGAGATAAGACCGGAACGCTTGTACGCATGACGCGCTCGGTTTCCTTCGAATCTTCTTTTTATTGAGGAAAGGCTTTCTATTCCTCGCCTTGTCTAGATAGCGCAGTCAATGGGCACTTTAAATAACATAACGTCAGTATGAAATTTTGATTTTAAGTAGTTAAAAGTACAGGATGGTCGAATTAGGATATTTCTATAAAACAGACCGGATGGACATGGACATATTTACTATTGAAGGTTGAAGGAAGCCATGAAAGATCTTAGGTGCTTCTAGTAAACAACTGTAATTTATTCTTGACTACTTCATCAGGAAGAATAAAAAAATGGAGAAACATTCCATTATATTCGACCATTATTGTTCTACAACCAAAACTGCAAACAAGCAACCAAAGTTTGAAAATAATACCAACCAAAAAAGAGTTTTGTCAAGTTATATATGAAAATACGATTAATATTTTTCTGCCAACTGTATATTCTAAATGATGGAAAATTAATGAAATAATTTATTAATTAATTAAATTTATATATAAAAATGAAAAGTAACTTCTTGTATTTATTACTAATATAAAATTGTTAGCATAATTAGAAACATATAACAACAGGTAATTAATTGACTTCAAAACAACCGCTTTTTTACTTAAGTTAACGTCATTTAGAAGTCTATTAATTACTTTTTGTAATTCTATATGTTTTTAATTAAATTGAATTGAATTTTATATTAGTAAAAATCCTAGTTGTTATTGTCCACGTTTTTAAACCTTTATTTATTAATTTTAATACATAAGATGTCACCAACTCTCGATCAATTTACATCATTTAGAATATAAAGTATTCGAAAAATTAAAATTTGTTTGCTTACAAAAATGCTGTTTTCGTGGTAGAAAAATAATGGTCAGCTGGTCAAATGTAATAGAAAATTTTTTCATATTATATCTTCCTGATGAAGTCTACAACCTTGGACGAAAGCTGGAAGTAATTAAAAATAAATGACAGTTGAGGCAGCTGAGTTCTTTCACTGCTTCCTATAACTTTCAATAGTAAATAAATAGGTCTATCGAGTTCATACATTTCTATGTAAATGCAAATAAAAACCTATATAAAAAATCTAAAACATAAGGGTTCTGGATTCTCCCCTTTGCTATCGCTCGATTTTCAAAAAAGGGATAATGGTAGAAACTGCACATGGGTATCCATTTCAGAATTACATGGGGTTAGCGAAAAATGTTAAAAAATCGCTGTAACGTTTTAAGTATGGAAAATTTGTGTTTCTCTGAAAAAATATTCAACGCACCTTTCAACTTAATAGTAAATGGTATATATAGGTATAATCTTATTAAAAGTAATAGTTTAATAGTTATAAGAAAACAATTTTTTATATGGGAAACTTACCTTTCCCACAATATAGTGCCCTTTCTATTATGTTTTCATTTCACTGCATGTATTTCAAAGTATATTGTGCTGCCTGTGGACGGACCCTGCTTCAATAAAGCTTTTTCTCTTCTCTACTCTAAAATTCCCAATTATGCGCCAATCAAATATACGAAAAGTGTCACCTTAAATAATCAGATTCATCAACTGTGGTCGTCAGTCGAGATAGACTTTAGCTACGGATTGTATTTTGACATTTGTCAATATTGAAGGTCACATTACATGTCATTCAGTTAATGCAGTAATCCTGTTGAACTGACGTGGCTTTTACTTGATGAAAATCCATTTAACAAAATAAATAAGAACCAAAAGGTCAGATTTTCACGAAATTATTTATTTTCACATGACAATTGTTTCGACAACACCGTGTCTTTATAAATTATTTGATATATAGATACCAATAAAATTGTAATACTCACACCGCAAGCCAAAAATCTGGAAATCAATTTTTCAATTACATCAAACACATCAAACGCGAAACTCTCTACTTATTCATACTTTAGTTTTTTGATTATTTCCAAATTCTAAATTTAAAGTATAAAGGATCCTTGAACCAACCTTACCTTGTAAAATCTTCCATAAATATTGAGATAACAAATTGTTATTGTCATTCACCTCTTCTCTCAATGAATTTAATAGCTTTAATATTTTTAATTTTCGGCACCGCATCTTAACAACTAAGGTTTGCCCCCACATTTATAATAAACTAATCTTCTTAATTTCATTTATTGTTATAACCTGCTGCCCTATGGCGGATACGTTATGGACCACCCTGTATAATGGTTTGACAAATTACACAAAAATGCGGTTAAGCTTTGATCATTTAGATGATTAATTTGTGCTTACCAATTTTAATGGGTAAGAAATGACAGACAGTTCACGCTCAATTTTTAAAATTAGTGGATTCTGTCATAATAACAATAATTAGTGCAATTAGTTGATAAAATAAAAAAGGTACTGTGGGAAAGTGGGCTTGACGGTTGTTCAAGATAAAATTGTAAAACTATAGGACTTACATACTAGACAAAAATCCAAAAAATAATTGTTTTCATTCAATTAAAAATAGTAGGTTCTTATTTCGCCCTCGAAGAGGACTTTCACTGCGCACACCTAGATGGTTACGAATAATTATGCAACAGATGCAAAAATCATTTGCGAAATAGATTTTGCAGGCGCTGCAAGCTTGGTTTGAGGGTGTCAATTTTTTTTGGAATTTATTGAAAATGTGTCAGCGATGCTTATATGGCTTTGAAATAATTTATGAAGATGATGCATAGCTATGTAGCAACTACTTTATTAAATAATAATATGAAAACTTTATTTCGTAAATAAACAAACTAAAATTCAAAAGCAGAAATGATTATTCATTATTATTATGCAACAAGTTTTATAAACATCAGAACATATTACAATTTGATCTAACGTTTCATTAGGTTTTGGGTTTTTGCACTAAGTGACTTGTGGCGTCATAAACAGAAGTGACAGGTGCCAAAATAGCAACAGTGTTTTAAATTTACTGAAAATATCCTATCACTCAAACTTGTGACTAAACAAGCATGAATAATAAAACTAATTTTTTGGATTGCCACAAGACCTCAGGTCTTTTAAACATTTGTCTGTATGGATTGGCACTATATACATCCCTCAGTGAGTGTATTCGTGCAGTTTTGCAAAAATGTATCCAAAAACTAATGGTCCTAGAAAAAGTGTAGTATGTAACACTTTGATAAAAGTCATTTTAGTCACGAGTTTGATTTGGTACAAAGGACAGTGTTGCGAGTGTTTAATAAATGAGTGGCTGAAGAAACTTATTGCATAATATACTATTAACCAATGAAACCAATCATTTTTAATTACACATAGGTACAATGAAATTATAGAGGAGTGTTCTTTAACACGTTCACGCCGGCGCAGGCCACTGGTAGCCCGCGCTAGACTGTTTCATTGGACGGCGCGTACCACCAGTACGCGCCGTCAATGGTTCTGTTAGAAATAATGAAAATTTAACGTTTATTTATCAAAAATATTTATTTTTATAAAAATTATATTCAATAACTTGTTATATAAATAAGTTTACAGTATTATAAATGTAACTCAAATTCGGCAAAAAATTTAAATAGTATTTTATTTATAACTACATGAACTATTGTTTTGTATGTAATTTGTTGAAACATTCCAAGCATAGTGCTGTCTGGCCCTTGCACTGGCCACAATCAGTATTAACTCTTGTAGTTTTGTTTGTGGCATAATCTATGCCCTTTTTCTTGGAAAATTTTTTATAGCATTCCTTGCAGCGTTTACGTGACTCTCTCCCAGATCTCTCATATGATTGAAGAACATGTTTACATGACGGTATAGAACAGTATATTTATTGATCAGCCAAAAGGTGATCAATAATAACTTCTTTAAATTGTAACATATTCATATTTTTAATGCTCCATCTTTTATGAATATACCAGGCAGTCACGAAGGAAGTTCCGCATATTAATTGTATTATTACTTTTCTGTACCATTTAATGGTTTTTTTCAAACAACAGTAATAACCCGATAGTTGATAGCTGATAAATCAACACCCTTTTTTGCAATATTATAATCAAACACACCATCCGGTTTTACTTTGCCATTTGTTCCTTCCACAAATTTACATGGGCGATTTTTTGAGGTAGTTAACATGCAAACTGGTCTTTTGTCAGTCCATTTCAGAAATTTTACACACACAAATGCATCAATTCAACACGTTTTTGTTTTTGTTTTGCCTGAAGTGGTAGAAATTTTTTGTTCATTTTTACAGTACCACAGATAAATGAATTATGCTGTAATAGTTCTTTACGCAAAGGAACACTCGTATAATAACTATCAGTAAATAAAATATCCATATTCCATTTATTACTGAAGTTATTTCCTTTACTGCCTGCCATTCTTCCTCGCCATCCTCATTCTCTGATATAGACACCACATTTTCTTCTTCTGGAGAACATAACAGAAGAGGAAGAAAGTATGTTGATGCCTTTCTCCTGCTCCTATTTATAGATTCATCAGAGTCACTTAATTCCATTTCCATGTTATCTACTTTTTATTAAAATAAAAATTTAAAAAATATTCTAACAACCTTATGCAATAATTGATGGCAGAAATCTATGGTCAGGATAATAAAATGGCACAAGTTACACAACTTTTGCAATAAGCACTCACTGTACTACTGAGCAAACAAGACGCCTATGCAGGTCTGAACAGGACATAATTGCGCGCTGCCTCACAGCAAAAAACATTAAAGTCGGTCCCGATGTGCAATAACAGAAATATCTATCTGCCTAGTTCAAAACATTGCTTTCAACATTTTAAGGGCAAAACTACAAACAAAAATTCACATACAATTTTAAAGCAATAATTTTGAGTTTATTGTGCATGAAATAAAACTTAAAATACATTTAAACGCTTCTGGATGTAAACAATAATGCTTCACGATTTATCAGAGGATTCTGCATTAGCGATCTCAGCCAAATCTTTTCTTTCTCGTAATCTCTCTCTAATCAACTCAGCAATTGCTCTCTGTGTTTGCCTCTCAAGTTTTTCCAACTTCTTTGCAATGTCGCGTTTTAAGTCCCAGTCTGGTTTTCTTGGAGCCAAAGAGGTCACGTCCAACTGATCAATAACAATCGCCGATTTTGCAGACTCCAATTGATCTTTAACCTGAAATCGATTCTGACTTGAAGCAAAATATATCACTTTTATTGAAAAACAAATATTACTTGAGAGCTAACATCTTCAGGTTTCTCGTTTGGCAAAACGTTTTCCTGGAGTCTATCATCTACAGGCCTATAACTTCGAAAAAGGGGTGCGGGCAATACCTCTTCAACAGGTACTTTGGAGTTACTTTCAGCAGTTTCTGATTTGTGTTCCCTTTTTCGTTTTAAAGCCAGTAATCGCTGCCTACGTTTGAGCGCTTCTTCTTCGAGATTTTTTTCATTATTAGTTTCCGACATTGTCATTTCTTGCGAATTTTTTAATATTAAATTTTATAATTCCTTCGTTCTCCTAAACTATAGAGAACCAAAATCAAGGTTAGGGTGAAAATATTGTATTTTCTTTTTTACTTGTAGTTCTCAAAATGCCGACGATCGGCCAGTTTTTACCAAAAGAGTGTATAAAAACAACTTCATAATTTTGATTGCACCAGAAAAAGAACCCCCATGGCCTGGGCACTTAGCTAGGAATATTTATATACATGTTTATCCGTTCTATTTTAGTATACTACTATATATTTAATTGGAAAGCTTGGGCAAAGATCTCAGCAAAGAAAAGGGCTTATTGAAGTAAATTCGTGTATCTTATGTGAGAATTCATTTGTGCTCTGTGGTGATATTCGTACCTATTTTTCCATGCTTTATCACACACCTGCTGTGTTCTGCGACTAAAAAATGGATTCTTCAAAAAACGGTCAACGAAAAAGAAAAAGTCCTAATACAAATAATATTTTTGAAGTAAATGAAGATGACTTATCTGCAGAAAATTCGGAGTCAGAGGAGCCCGAAGCAAAAGTTAAGAAGACAGACCATTCAAATGTATATGAGAAGCAAGTAAGCCAAAGTCCAAGTAACCTCCAAAATGAACAAAAAATTGATATATCTGAAGACTCATTTGTGCCCAAAATACGTAATGATATTGAAGATAAGTTTGATGAAAACATTATCAAGGTAGGTCTTTCAACTTACCTACATGATTATGTTACAACTCTTCACTTTCCATTGCTTGATTAATATATATCATTTGTTTCTTAAAGGAGGTGAGTATCCTAGAAGAAGGTGAAGTATCCGAATTTGATTCAAAATTGAATAATAATACTTCACAAGATTCATATATTACTATTACGTTCAAAGACAGAGAGGCAGCAGACATTTACAGGAAACCTTTTTTGAAATTTCTTCAGACATTTGTAGAATTACAAATAGAAGATAGTGCTAACACTGTAATTAAGTTATCTAGGACTGCCAATGTGAACCCTACTGACTGGGTAATAATAGATGACAGTCTTGACTTAACTCAAGAAGTGGATGAAGAATTGGCTAAAGAACTGCCTGTTACACCACAGTCAGGAAAGAAAAAGAAAAAAAAGAAAAAGAAAAAGGACTTATTTGTCCTGGACACTACTCCAGGTTTAGAGGATGAGGCTAACCAAACAAAATATTGGTCTAGATTTTTAATTAATGAAGCTGAGAAAAAAGATGAACAAGCACCTCATAAACGACCTATACCTTCAACTTGCTTTAATTGCAGTCAGAATCATAATATGAAAGATTGCCCCATGCCCAAAAATTATAGTGTAATCAACTCTAACAGACAAAAGTTGGCAAACAAAAATAAAGCTTGGTAAGCATTTTCATTATTTTTGGTAACAATTATTTCATAGTTTATAGATTTATACAATATGTCCCTTGGAACAATATGGGAAAGTTTATTATTAATTTTGGGAAAAAAACTTATTTTCTATAAAGCCATCTCATATTTTAAAATCTAAAATATAGTAACTAGATATTTGTATTCTCCGTTAGTATTCAATGTTTGTGAAAAAATAAGATCTTTACTAAGGGGTAAAGTATTTAGTTTTATTTCTTCACTGTGTTTCAATGAAAAAATGTATTCATCTTTGAAATTTATTTCAACGTACAGGGCTATACATTATATTTTGATACCCACCTACAGGGTTAATTTTGAAAAATAGAAAAAAGTTAAATACAAAAGTTTAAAGGTTTTTGCTCTAGTATCTTATGCAAATGTCAGAAAAAACAAACGACAATCGCAAGCTGTCAAAATAGCAGCAACATCATTTGTTTTGAATGGAATTCCGTAGATATTATTAGCTTAAATAACAAATATTTTTTCCTGATTTCAAGAGCATATAGTTTATCGACATTTCATTTAGATTTTTTTGAGATGTTTCAGTTTAAAAATAATTATCATTCGATTTCTGAACAATAGCCGTATTGTTTAAACATGGTCATGTCTGCCTTAATAGCAACTATATTATCTATGTTTGCAATTGTTGTAACAATGTTCTATTTTTGACAATGAATCAAAACTAAAGATCTGCAGTGTAAGTTAAATAACTGAAGATATTTTAAATGGGTTATATTGAGGAAGAAAAACTCCTGTAGATACATATCTACATGTGATCTAGGATAGGATAACTTTTATAATCACAAGAAGTTCACTCAAAATAGAAATAATATTAAATAATTAGTTTTGGTTAGTTAGTTAGTTTTTAGTTCTGATCAAGTTTTTTTAGTAAAAGTTTTGTATAGTATCAAATTTAACTTAAGTCTTGATTATAATTCATGATTTTTGCAAAACGATTTATAAAGAATAAGTTTTTTCTTAAAATTAATACTAGTTTCCCATATTGTTCCAACTTAATCTATATGTATAGTGTATACCTATGTGTTGATTTTTTAGTAGTAATTTGCAAGTAATTAAAGCTGAAATAACTGTTTTAGTCGATACCATCTGGAAGGAGACCAAAAATATAGCCATCTTTGTCCTGGCAAGATCTCCACGAATTTACAAAAAGCACTGGGTTTGCACAAGAACCAAATACCAAAGTTTTTTTATAAAATGAGAGAATGGGGTTACCCTCCAGGGTGGCTGGAGGAAGCAAAAATAGTGAAATCTGACTTGGCTATGTTTGATATACATGGCAATCATGTTAAAAATACTCATGCCAGAAATATTAAAGGGTTGGATCCTGAAAAACTAATTGACTATCCTGGATTTAACATTCCTCTCGAAAAACATATTAAAGATGTAAGTCTATATGTGTCCCAAAACAATTTGTATTTTAATTTTTGACAACTCAAACTAACCACACTAACTAGGTGATATTTGTACTATACAAAATGTCCAAAGTGTATAATATACATGAACATTTTAAATGCAAAAGTTGTTTGTATATATGTGATACATTTAATGAATATAGTTGCTATTAGGGTATGTCATAAGCATCTCAGCATGGAACACCCTGTTTTGGATTTCTGAAATTTTTTTATAATTAAATGTTTAAATTATGGTAGCACTATGCTGTGCATTCTTGTATTGACTACGTTTTATAATATATAAGTTGGAATTCATTCATCCATATTTTTTTTTTGGAAAAGGAATCAAGACATCATCACATGCCACCCTATTCACGCGATTATAGTAAAGAGATAATGATAGACTTTTATGAAAAACAGTGCATGGAGGAAGAAGACAATTCTGAAACTCAAGATATGGATTTAAGTAAGACAAATGAAACAGAAATTGTAGAGATCATTGAAATAACTGACACTGAAGTAAGAGAAATGGCCATATTATATTTTACAGTTATGTTAACAGTACTCAACTTTTTAGCTACAGTCGAAGGAGATTCTTACAATTAAAGAATCTCTATTGAATGCACCATCACCATCATTGAATGAGTTAGAAAAAGAGAAAGAGACTCTATTGGAACAACTAATTGATACAGATGAAGTATCTAATTCTGCTGTTTTACAGGATGATCAAGCTACTTCCCAGACTGAACACGAAGAACCGAAACAATCAAATGAAAAAAAGACAGATTCAAATGAACCCGTGGAAATAGATTTAACAAAAACCGAAAATGAGGATTATTTATGTTCAACTCCCATTACCAAACGCGATACTAACATTAGTGTGCGTAGTGTTACAACTAGCACATTTGGAACTCCGATATTGAAAAGTAGTTCTCCTTATAGTACATTGCCGAACCCTGATAATTTTTCTAAGGATGTGAGCCCCGTGATAAACTTTGAGAATTTGCCAAATTCGACAGGTAAGTATGAGCAAATGACAGGAGTGCTACAAAAAGTACGCACTACGTTAAAAGGTTTAAATCAGTGTAAAAGTTGAGGTCATGAACTGGTATTACATTAACATTTATTAAATGGTAGTTCAGAAATTCAGCCAATTTAATTACCTAAATCTTTTTCATGAAGGTTATAGCTAGGTATAGCTTGAATTTTTAATTTATAAATGGAGTGACCATATGATGCCATCCAACGGTTTCCCCAGTGGCTATAATAAATATACACATATACTTGTCTGTACATGTTTAATAAATTTGTACCTGTTTTAAGTCATGTAAATAAATTTTGTATGTAAAAATGTTTTTTGAAAACTTTAGTTAATTGAAAGTTGAAAAAAGAAAAAATATATTAATATTTAGTATTTCATACTTTGCTACAGAGAAAAAACAATATAAGAGTATTTAAGTGTCTAAAATTGTGTAATAGAGATATATTAATAAAAGTGATTATTTTCTTTGACTTATTTATTGGATTCTCCTTGCAATTGAAAAAAGCACATTGTGGGGTTAATAAATATTAATAAAAGTGATTATTTTCTTTGACTTATTTATTGGATTCTCCTTGAAATTGAAAAAAGCACATTCTGGGGTTAATAAAATACCGTATGCGGCAGGGTGCTGTATGTATATATAAATACGTTTTTCTACTCTATGCTTTCAAGTAGCCAGTTATGCTTGGATTAAGCATGCATAAAGTGTCACTTTAAGACAGTGGTTTCCAACATTTTTGTTCTTGCACTCTCTTTAAAAAAAATTGTTGTGCACCCTTAACTTTTCTAACAATCTAATTTCATAAATACTCAACTGATATTATAATTTATTTAATGGACTATAAAATAATATGCAATATTATGTAAAAATATATAAAAAAATAATTATTTGCTATAAGAAATAATTTTAAATGTAATAAAAAAAAATCTTAAAGAATACAAAAACAAAATGATATATAGGAACCAAGTGCATGCCCCTCTTGCAACAGTCACGCCCCTCAAGTTGGAAACCACTGCTTGGGGACCACCAGTAAAGATATGTTGCATTATTTTAAATACTTATAATATTAAATTTTAATTTATATGGAAAACACTAAAATTTTCTTATTAATGCTTTTATTTTTATTAAGAGTTTGAAGACTAATAAATAAACTAAAAAAAAGTTTCCCAATATTGTATTAGTTGGCGCTATTCAACAGGTCATAATTCAAATAGTTTACGATTTCTATGTTACAAGAATATACTTTTATACCATACAGAATATACAGAAGGAGCTGGAGAGTTGGTAACTAAACTCACACCAATTAGATTGTCTAATTGATTTATTTGATGACTCCTAATAATTATGTAAATATTTTATATACAAATATAAGCTGAGGTTGTGCAGAAAAATATAAAAATTTGTGTGATAAGGAATGTTAACAATCAAGGATAAAAATTATACCAAATCCCTCAATACATAACAAATAGGTCTGTCAAAACAGTATCCATATATATATATATATATATATATATATATATATATATATATATATATATATATATATATAAAATAGTTTCTAAAACTTTGAAATACATATGCCTGTCAATTTAAGAAAATATATTTTCAAATGAATAACACACTTTTTGTAAAGTATAACAAAATAATACTATTCAATTAGTTTACTGCTGGCGGTGGAGGTCCATTTGAGTTCTAAAAACACAAGAAATTCTAATCAAACCAAAACCTAAAGCTGTATGAAATCATACATTTTCATTTCTGCTTGGCTTCCTAACATCCTGTTGAATCTGTTGATTTCGAGGTCGTAGCATATACAACAATAAAACTGCAGCAAAGAAAACAGTCAAAATCAATAGACTGTCAGGGTTATTGGGATTCGTCCTGGGTGGTGTCGCTCCTACAAATACAGTTTGTCTCAGAGCATAAAAATGTTAAAAAGCAACTATTTAACTTTTAAAATTAAAAAGGGACTAAACCGAAAAGCAAAAAACCACACTTTTATAAACAGGGCGTCACTACGTCGGTTGGTGATGAATCGAACTTGATGTTTCACCAATCATCTTGTGGGCAAACAGAATCACTACATTACTATGTTGATCATTTACGAAACATCAACAGGTTCAATTCATCACCGTTGAAATTTAGAAGATTTGTAATGTTGACTCTTACAATGGACATTTAAATCAAAGAGTCTGTCACATAATGAAAATTTTAAATTCTGTGGTTCAATCTAATCGGAATTCTCAACTTTACAAATTGCAACTAAAAAATAATAGGTTCCAATTGTTTTTTAAACACAAAAGAAATTACACTTACCAGTTTCAAAGCATTCAGTGTCAGTGCATAAAGCTTGAGAATTTCTAAGCTGTGGAAAAATTATAGTTTAGTTCATTTCGAAAATTTGTATGGTTAATATATAACTTTGTGCAGCATTTATTTTTTATTCAGACCATGTTATTTGTAATTGAACTCTTTATATTTATTTTAATGATATTTTTAAATGTTGCAAATTCTATAATAAATGATAACACAGTATCTGGTTTGTTGTGACCTTGGGGAAATAAAGGGTAGAAAAAAGATTTCCAGTTTACTGACAAAGGTTTAAAAACCTGAAAAACAACTTACAACATTCAATAGGCGCCTCATAGCCAATTCATGATTCCATATGCAGGCGCACGGATCGAAACTGCCTGCGTCGTCGCCCATTTTTGTTATTCCTGAAAAATAGAAAGCTATTTTAGAAACTATCTTGGTGAATATTACATACAATACCTTAACGTTTCAGGTGGCCGAGGTTATAAAATAATAAAGAACATAAGCGCGGATAACAGAATTATTGCTCCAGTCCCATACTAATAATTATTTCTTATTACGTACCTACCCTATTTACAAATTAATAATAGATAAAACCACAGACAAAAGAAATGACGTTAAACAAGCTGATTGGTGACAAAGAAAGCCCAAAGAAAAGAACTAAATACATAGAATAAAGGGTTTACCAAAGACAGTGGAAAAGGTAGTTGGTCGATTTAATCGCTCCAGATTAGTGCGTAATCATGCTGCTACAGTGACGTTGTTGGCTCATTCACAGCATGAGTTTCTTCATCATTGGTTAATTTTTAGTATACAGAAAAGACAACTACTACGGAACTATTTTGTGGCCCACAGCGCCCTATACACCTATTTAAGAAGAATGGTTTATTTTTAATACATTAAAATTTCAAAATGCATTTGGTTTTAATTTGTGATCAAAGGTGATTTCTTGTATGAAACAAGTGCTTTATATTAATTGTTTGAAGAAAAAACAAACCTTAAACAAATAAATCCTAAAAAATATCGAAAATATTCTACGGTTTTTATTTTTTTTTAATTCTTTTGTTACAGCTAACTTTTTTCTTCCGATTGTTCTGAAAAATTCAGTTTAAAAAAAAGCAGTTGTTCAGTTGTTTCAAAGCACACATTGTCGAATGATTTTTTTTAGAATTAATAAAAATTTTCAAAGTTGATTAACAACTTTCACAATAAAACTTTTTGAAAACTGCACAGCTTTATATTAATTGTATCTTTAAACACTATGTTGCCATTATGCCACGAAAGAGGTAAAAATTGTCTTTTTCGTATGAGTATCCTGTATGGGTGGTATTATTATTATTGACGTATTTTGCTGATATTGCATAAACAAATAGTTCGTTTGGTTTCGTGTAACTATGGATTCATCAGAGTATTCAACAATGAAGGAAATGCAGACAAATACAACACAAATTGCCGTGCCTCACTAAACAAAAACGTGAAAGGTTAGTTACATCGCTGATTTAATTGCCCCAGATTAGCGCGTGATCATGCTGCTGCAGTGACGTTGTTGGCCCGTTTACTGCATGAGTTTCTTCGCATTTCATCATATTCATTTAAAAGTTCTATTTAAAACGCTTTATTTTATATTTATGACAAAATGAACACAAATGAACCAAAAATCAATATTTTTAACAAATACTAAGGATTTTCCTTTTCTGATCAAAACATTAAATAAAAAATCCAGATCTATATTTAAAAATGTTCACCAGAATTTAATAAATATAGCATAGTAATCTAGGACCGGTGTAAAAAATAAAACCTCGTCTACACGAATGTTCTAGTAAAACTAGCCCAATAAAGGTTTTCGACGAATACCAAATGGGCTTCGAAAGGTTCTTACCTCCTCTCGCCGAATCAGATCAGCGGAAGATGTTGAGAGGAAACCGAAGGACGGTCTCGTGTCGACGCATGCGACGCCAAGGTTTTCCACCCGCGTCTCTTTTTCAACAGTTAAGAGTAGGCACAGAAGCAGTTCGCATGGGCCAGACAGACTCTGGTTTTCATCTAGTACCCATCTTCTGGCGTTAGCGAGAGATGCCAAGAATAACCAACACGTAAGTGTGACAGTTGTTTTTCATTCTGTTTGCTGACTATACTGCACTACATACGAAAATATGATGTTTAGTTCACTTTCTCAATGTGATACTCTAAAATTAAATTAAAAATACTTAAATACCGAGTAAGCCAATAGTTTGAAAAAGTACTAGATTTCCCTTAATAAAAAAATGTTTTAATAGCTGTTGCATAGAATCAGGACATAGACACTTCAAAAATATTTATAGATAATTTAGAAAAACGTGGCAATACAAAAAATTATTTTTTAAATGCAAAACTCATTTGTTTGTTTCGGCACGGAAAAAATATTATATAGATTGAATCGTAAAAATATTATATTTAAACTTTTTTATCTCTTAGAATTTGATCCGCATGTCCTCATTGCGGTAAGTACTCGCGAAAACAGCATTTTCACATCCCAAACAACGCCAGTTACACTAGCAAGCAAAGGCCGCTATTTGCTAGTTTATGTGGCTTGCAAAGTAAAGTTTTTAAATTTATTTACTTAAAAACTTGGCTTTTTGTAGAAAAGATTCGAGCACCAATATTACCCGTTACAGGACATTTTTTCTCAAGCGAATGGGTCGTTGGCTCACGACTAATTGATAAAGTGAAAAGGCTCTTCTTTTTATGGTAACAAACTGTAAGGAAATGTCTTGATAAACATTTATGAGAATGTTACAGTACACACAGTAAATAGTTTTCATTCATATCGCCTTTGAGAACTACGTATCGAGAAATCGGATGGCATCATATTGCCATCCGATAGAGCTTGCAAATGAGTTCGCTCATTTGTATCTATTGGATTCACGCACGTTTTTGGGGGTGCCGAGTACTAATAGGAATCTATATATATATATATATATATATATATATATATATATATATATATATATATATATATATATATATATATATATATATATATATATATATATATATATATATATATATATATATATATATATATATATATATATATATATATATATATATATATATATATATATATATATATATATATATATGTACATTGGCAATTTTGTTAACATTGTGCATTACACTTTGTACATCTCATTTTGGTTATCTATAATCTGAGATTAGCACAATTGTATTATACATTGCGTGTTCTTTTTTATATTTAGTGTAATTTGTCTGCCTTCTTGAAAATTTGTTTTTGTTTTACAAAGAAAATTCATTCATAAACTTATCACTATAAACCTTAGCGATTTGTATACACTCTTCAGGAATTTTGGAGTAGTAGTAGTAAAAATGGTTGTAGATAAATCTTTCAGTGAGCCTGTATAACTGTATTTTCCCTATGAGAGATTTTTTTATGGAAAGAAAATTTCCTATTAAATAAGATAAGATATCTAATACCATTTTTTATCCAACATTTACGTATTAAGAACAAATATTTCCCCAATAACTTCAGTCAGTTAGTTAGTCATCTAATACATGCAACTTTTGAACGCTATTTATGTTTAAAAAACCAGGCCACACATATAGTTTTTGCGTTATAGTTTTTAAGATATGGGTCAGTATTCCTTGTTATATTATAACAAGCAAAAAGATCTAAAAATTGAATATTTTCCATAAAAAATCGGTATTTTAATATATAAAACGTTGTTTTCTCAACTTTTTGTGTTTTTGAAAAGACTTCAAGGGGCTGTTTCTCGAACTCAACAATGTTAAAAGACTAAAACTTGACTTGATATATCGGTTGTTGATGAAAATAATACGTGCATTATATTGACTATCCAGACATAACAATCTGAATTGAAAAGTTTCGTATATTAGTCTACCTAACTTGTCTATGTCCGAAATTCAAAAATTGTCCAACTGTTAATTTTATTATTCCCATCGGTTTGACGATATTTATATATATATATATATATATATATATATATATATATATATATATATATATATATATATATATATATATATATATATATATATAAGTTTCGGATATATATATATATATATATATATATATATATATATATATATATATATATATATATATATATATATATATATATATATATATATATATATATATATGTATATATATATATATATATACATATATATATATATATATATATATATATATATATATATATATATATCCGAAACTTTAAAACCGTTTACAAAAATTACAAAACCTACATTAGCAATCCAAGGAACATACGAAAAAGAAGCCCTTTTTTCACTTGGCAATTTCGCAAAATTGAATTGGGCAGCTAAGAATTGGGCAATTAAGATTGCTATTACTAGTATTTTCACATTCATACCATAAAAAGGTATTACAACATGTTATTCAGCTTTAAATACAACACACATTTTTAAGACGTGTTTTTTTTTTGTGTCTGATATTCACTTACTCCTGGAGTGATGGGAATGAAAAAAAAACACTAGCAAAATCATAATAATTCGAAAAGTCGCTTTATTCTGTACAGTAGTAAAGCATGTCATTATCTTAGTAACATACCTGAATGTTGGTCACCTGCAAATTACTAAGCAAGAGTTGTTCAGCTGAAATTTACAAAAAATAATGTAATGCCCAGTTTATCGCGCTGTACAATTATTATGACAATGTTACTAATTACACCTTTAATTTATGATTATAGTGATGAAAAATGTCTGGAAATATTTCTCTGAGATTAATACCTGTCAAATGAAATTTAAGAGGATTATTTTATTATTATAGTAATGTCCGTTATATTTTCGGCAATATTTGTGGGTTGACTTGAAGATAAAAGGCATTTTAAAAAAGAAATCATTTGACGGGTACAATTCAGTGTAAACAAAGGATTACAAGGGTAGACCAAACCAAAGCAAAACCAGTACGGTAGACCAAATTTACACAAATGGTTAAGACGTTTATTTGGGACGATTCATTCCTCTTTCGCCAAGTTTTGCATCTGTATTAGGGTTAATCTCTGACCAAATTATTGCTATCGCTTTCGAGCGAGATAACTAACAAAGGGTCGTTGATTAAAATACAAAACTAATAGTTTAAGTTTCTCTAAATGATTGTGCGATTTTGTTTTCTTTGTTAGATACGATTAGCCATAAATTCCAACCAACTGCGCGTCGTCATTTTTGTGACCGGTTTAACTCACTGAGCGGGCCTCGCGATAGCAAACAAACTAAATTATCCGTAAATAAGTTAATGAGCTAAAAGAAAATTTTACAAATGTAGGTGTCTGGGAATTTTACGAACACAGGAAGGCGGAATTAAGACAACGCTTGCCTAGTTCCTAACCTTTTAAGCATGTTAAGGTTAATATACTTTGAAATAAAAAATAACAGTTAAATATTTCACTGCTTCACTGTTGCTTCGTTAATTTTAATTTTATTTTAACTTTTATGATAACGGTTAGCAGTAAGATTCGCGTAAATATAATTATATAGGTAATTAATAAAATACTATAATATAAAGAGAATATATATATATATATATATATATATATATATATATATATATATATATATATATATATATATATATATATATATATATATATATATATATATATATATATATATATATATATATATATATATATATATATATATATATATATATATATATATATATATATATATATATATATATATATTCTCACGTATTGATTCACGGATGGAAAAATGTGATGACACTATATTCCGGGATATCATCCGTTCGCTCGTTGAACTCCGACTGGAATCCTGCTTCCGACTGGAATCCTGCAGACGTTTCGCCAATGCTCGTGTTCGAAGTGTTTTCGGAGCGCGAGCATTGAAGATGCCAAGTGAGATTTTATATATGTATATATATATATATATATATATATATATATATATATATATATATATATATATATATATATATATATATATATATATATATATATATATATATATATATATATATATATATATATATATATATATATATATATATATATATATATATATATATGATGACACTATATTCCGGGATATCATCCGTTCGCTCGTTGAACTCCGGCTGGAATCCTGCAAATCCTGCATCCGACTGGAATCCTGCAGACGTTTCGCCAAAATCTCACTTGGTATCTTCAATGCTCGCGCTACGAAAACACTTCGAACACTCGAATCCATCCGTGAATCAATCGTGAGTATATATAGATATATATTGGGTTGTTCGGAAAGTCATTTCGTTTTTTTTGGGGAACATGAAAGACAGTTTTCGTATAATGAATAAATATTTTATTAAATTATATATTGGCCATTCTGGTCCAACACCTTTTGCCATCTTTCTGGCAGTAACATAATTCCCCTCCCATAAAAGTTTTGGTGCTTGCTGGCAAAAAACTGGTTCAGGTGGTTTTTGACATCTTCATTTGAGGTAAAGGTTTTGCCATCCAAAAAATTTTGCAGGGACCGGAACAAATAGTAGTCGGAAGGCGCCAGATCTGGAGAATATGGTGGATGTTGCAGTACGTCCCATTCAAGCTATAAAAGTTTTTGGCGAGTGACCAAACTTGTGTGAGGTCTCGCATTATCCTGGTGGAACACTACACCCTTCCTGTTGTTTAATTTGGGCCTCTTCTCTTTAAGTGAATCATTCAATTTGTCCAGTTGATGACAATAGACTTCTGAATTAATCGTTGTATTGTCCGGCAAAAGCTCAAAAAAAAACGATTCCTTTGACATCCCACCAAACGGAGAGCATCACCTTTTTTTGGTGACACGCTTTGAGCCGGTTCATCTTTTCTGCTCCATGACCTCTTGCGTTTAACATTGTTGTATACAACCCATTTTTCGTCCCCAATAATAATCCGCTTCAAAAATGGATCATTTTCTTGACGTTTGAGGAGCGAATCACACACGTCAACGCGACGACACAAATTTCGCTCCGTCAGGACATGGGGCACCCACACATCGAGCTTCGAGGTTAAGCCCATGCCTTTCAAATGGCCATAAACAGTCGAATTCGACAAATCTAACCTCTCACCGATCTCTCGTGTGGTTATTCGCCGATTTGCATCAACTAATGCCTTTATCGCATCTTTGTCAGCTTCGACCGGCCTTCCAGACCGTGGTGCATCTTCGATATTAAAATTGCCGGATCGAAATTTTGCAAACCAGTTCTGACACTGGCGTACTGTTAACACACCTTCTCCATACACATCCATCAATTTTTTTCTCCCTTGGACAGCATTTTTACCTTTTCTGAAGTAAAAAAGTAAAATATGACGAAAATGCTTCTTATTGCTCTCCATATTTAAAAGGGCACCAACCAAAAACTACTGCGTAGAATTAATAGAACTTTTTCACACACAAGCCTTGCAATATCAGCTCTCAAGACATATAATGGTTATGCGGCTTAAGTGTGAAGTTGGTTTCGAAAAAACGTAATTAAGTCCTCTGACGGGAAAAAACGAAATTACTTTCCGAACAACCTTATATATATATATATATATATATATATATATATATATATATATATATATATATATATATATATATATATATATATTGGTGGTGTTCGAAGTGTTTTCGGAGCGCGAGCATTGAAGATGCCAAGTGAGATTTTGGCGAAACGTCTGCAGGATTCCAGTCGGATGCAGGATTCCAGTCGGAGTTCAACGAGCGAACGGATGATATCCCGGAATATAGTGTCATCACATTTTTCCATCCGTGAATCAATACGTGAGTATATATATATATATATATATATATATATATATATATATATATATATATATATATATACACGGCTCTAGGACAATACTTAAAAATTGCAAATATTGTATAGTTTTTATCCCGCATGTTTTCAATTTGAGAATTTTTGGAAAAATGGAAAATGGATTCGTGGGAAACGAAACTGACGTGGTAAAGTGACGCTTCCCGCACGCTAGATCGGTGGGTAATTAGGTATTTTACAGACGGGAGTAGAAAAAGTATTTTTTCTACTCCCGTGAGTTTCGTTCGTTTCGTTTTCGTTTCTCATGAATACGAGCCACTTCGGACATTTCCGAGATTTTACCCCACGGATTTGGGAGCAATCGGATGTTTTCCGAGATATTTCCCAAGCTTTGAATTTTGACGTTTGTCAATTCTGATGGTCATGTCAGTGAATGTATTCGTGTTGTTTGGCGAAAATGTACCCAAAAACTAACGGTCGTAGAAAAAGTATAGTATGCAACACGTTCGGTAAACTTTTTAACTCACTCGTTTATTAAAAACTCGCTCCGCTCGTGTCAAACAAACTCGCGAGTCAAATAACGTTTACCGCACTTGTTGCATAATATACTATTATGATACAATTTTTAATATTCGCCTTTTTAATTTACAATTAATTCACAATGAATAATAAAATGAGCTTTTATATACAGAAAGCAATATCTTTTTTTTTTAATTTGGTAGATATGGACCTCCGAATTTAGTCCTCAATTTTTGTTTATACATAGGCAGTGATCAGCCGTTTAATATTTTTAGGATGTCCAAGAATATGACGGATTCTCATCGGCATATTAATAAAAAATCGAAAAACGATTCGAAATTTAGCGGTATTAAAATTTATTTCATAACCCAAATTCGGAATCAAACCAACCAATTGAGTACGTATTCAATGTCGAGGGTAGTAATTAATGGAGCTTTGAAAATCGCGGTCTGACACATGTCCGGCACAGGGAAACACTTATGATGTAGTGGACAAGACCGCTCGTGAATTATTACCCCTATCAATCAACAGATTTCAGCTAACTGGGTTTCGCTGTTACATTTTAATTTTTCCAGAAAAAAAAAAGTAAATTCTACGCGAACATTTTAAAAGGGCTCTGCAGTTTGGAAGCACTCGAATGGTAATTTATTTATTAGTCATACACACATCCATCATCCGAGGCCAGTTAGAGATGGGGCAAATTAGAATATCTTTTTATAAAGAAATGCAAACAACGCAAATAGATTAATATCAACTAAAAATAATTGATAATTTTAGCACATGTTCCGATGTGAAATTGCCCAATAAAGTAAAATTAAAATGAAGTTCACACCACAAAAACAACTTTGAATTAAAAATTTTTATTTTACTACACCAAAATCATCACAAAATTGTATCTTAAAAAATCTATTTTTTCATGGATTTGTGATAGATTATAATAAAAATCCTAAGTCAATAACTTATTCTATTTTAGGGTTAAAAACCCCTAAAGGTATAATAAAATGCAAAAAACAGGACACAAAGATACAAAGGCTTGTAAACTACAAATGGGTGACATGATGAAAACTCTTTTGGCTACTATTCATGAAGATCGGGGACTCCATAGATTCATCTTTACCTAATACTGATTTCTTCCTGTAGTATTCGCGGCTTCTGTCACAAACACCACGATCATCAGCAGCCATCAGCAGAAGAAAACAGCATTCGCGACCATCATGTCCTCATGTAAACAACCCAAATGCTTCCGAGATGGCGGCATACCCATACAGACTGCCGACCACCGGGAGACCTGGGGTAAGAAGGTTGACTTCCTGCTCTCGGTCATCGGGTTTGCTGTCGATCTCGCCAATGTCTGGAGATTCCCATACTTGTGTTTCAAAAATGGTGGCGGTAAGTTTAACTCCATAAGAACATTTACAATATTTTCCAAAAACTTGTTTATCGATCGCAAATGATATAAGCTGCAGATTGTTAAACTTCTATTGGTTAGAAATTATGGCAAGAGAATGTATTGGGTACGGAGTTAGGTTTCTAGGTAAAGTCCCGCATAATTACGGGCTCCGTCATTTTTTCACCTCCAAATATATTGGCAACATTCCATTGAGATTATAGTATCCAGGGTTTCGATGTTTTCTTTATCATGTATAAACGAGCATCCGCCTCTCTGAAGTTGATATTGTTGACGTTTCTGCTTTTCAGCTTGCTAATAATATGCTAGGGTAACAGTCTAATATAGATAAGTTCCTCTTAGTAGTTTTTATGATTTTAGGGAAACGCTGCAAATATGTTAGCGCTTCCAGTGCTTATACATAAAGATTTTTCACTTTTATACCAACATTCTTGCATATACCCTTCGGCCTGAAATATGCTTCATTATGTACCTTTAAATGCCAGTCCCACACTGATTCGCGTTGGAGTTATCAGCTGTGTTTAAAACTCCCCAGCCGTATCGAAATGGATGGAGGCTGATGGCAGGTTAGAAGGTTTTGTATTAATCTAATTATTCTGGCATATCTATTTGCTTTATGAAAGGGATCTTTGAGATATAAAGAAAGTAAGTTAACTTAAATTTAAATTTTGACACCTTGTATTTTGAAAACCCGGTCACTCTTGACACATGTTTAGTTGAACCTTTACCCTTGAATTTAATTCTGCTCTTGAAATGATGACATAACAACACCGAGCGAAAACATATTGCTCCAAAATCGTAGCGGACATAATCTATTTAAAATATGGAAGACCATGCTTTTTTAAGGAACTTTGTAACACACAATATTGTCTGTTTATTACATATATTACATACACATTAAATGTAATAGACACCGCCGCTATTATAATCAATACGAAATCAACTGGAACAACATGAAAGAAAGTCAGGTTATAGTGCCTGAAGCACGAACGTGCGAAAGTAAATTAAAAGAATATGAAAAAACTGCTTAAATCATTTGAATTTCAATTCAATTGTCAAACATCAGTGGGACCATATGTTGTTCTATATATATATATATATATATATATATATATATATATATATATATATATATATATATATATATATATATATATATATATATATGATGACACTATATTCCGGGATATCATCCGTTCGCTCGTTGAACTCCGACTGGAATCCTGCATCCGACTGGAATCCTGCAAATCTTGCATCCGACTGGAATCCTGCAGACGTTTCGCCAAAATCTCACTTGGCATCTTCAATGCTCGCGCTCCGAAAACACTTCGAACACTGGGAGGTTATCGGCGGTGCGTGCGGTATTTATACTCTGCGCCGTAGATGGTAACGGTGCCGTCGGATGCAAGATTTGCAGGATTCCAGTCGGATGCAGGATTCCAGTCGGAGTTCAACGAGCGAACGGATGATATCCCGGAATATAGTGTCATCACATTTTTCCATCCGTGAATCAATACGTGAGAATATATATATATATATATATATATATATATATATATATATATATATATATATATATATATATATATATATATATATATATATATATATATATATATATATATATATGTTTAGTTTTTAATAAGAATAAAAGTTTAAGTATGCAACTGACCGCCGGTGCCCGTTACTTTGTAACTAAGCGTAAAAGTACATTTGACATTTCTATAAACATCATTATTTACAGTTATGTAAAGCTTTTTAAAGTTTTTCTCCGTGTCCGTCCATCTATACTGAAGTTTTTAATTATGGAAATGCAAAATTTAACCTTGTTCATAATAATATTTTTTGAAATGCTTTTAGTTAGATTCTAAAATCAAAATAACCTTCTTGAAGTTCAATTTTTAATCGATGCGCATACTCACCGACCAGAAACCGACATTCAATCAAACTTTTCTTTCTGAACAGCCGCCTTAATGTTTCGATCAATCGTATGAATAATAACGTTAGGTGTTATCAAAGATGTCATAAATTTTTTTCAAACCATAGTCGCTCGTCAAACTAGCAAGCAGAAATTATAAGACAAAAATGTTGGCGTTTACTGACGAAACTAATCGAATCACCGCTCGAATGGGATATTACACGGCCTGCATATCTTCGGTACTATGGCCTGCGATACATCCTGAAGTGGCGGCAACTCTATTAGCTGTTAATTAACTATTAACAGGAGGCCATGGATCGCGTCTACAGTGGCATCGCGAGAGAGAGTTCTTTCTGTATCAATAATAGCTTGGTAATTGAGTTTGCATGCCATTAGCAACGCAGAGCCGCTCAATTTACTGAAAAGGCACACCCCGCTCTACCCTCTGCCACCGTGGAGATAATGGGGTTAACCTTCGACACACGTCGTCCCTAATTGACATTGATAATATTAAAAGAGTCTCAAAGTGTTTAACATGATATGGTGAGTTTTTTGTTTATCTGTTCATTCTGAAGTTGAGCGATCACAGTCTTCTGAAGATATTTTAAATATTATTAAACGAAAATAATACCGCTCAGACAATAGCAGAATAGATAGATATACTTTATTTCGTAGGTTTTATATGTATACCAAAAATGCAATTGAGTATTAGATTAATCATTTCGCAAAACTGATATTAGTAAAGAACACATGCCTCTTAAGAAACTTCGGCCTATCAATTTTTTTTAGTACTAAGATTAAACAAATTATTAACAAAATTGTTGAACATAACCCCCCTCAATGAATTGTGCACTCATTCTAATAGTTCTTATTTGTTCCGTTTATTTTCACAGGAGGTAATAATTCGCTAGCTCAAATCTTCAAGTGTTAAGAGCAGTTTTGTACATTAAAGTTATAAAAAGGAACATAGTATTGAGATCGCCGACTGTTCAGGCCGTTCGATCCACCACCGATTGGCCGACAACGCTAAACGAATCAATACTTTGCAATAAACTGAAGCTCCGTCACGCTGTACCAGATTTGATCCCTTAATCCAATTTAAAAAAATAAAAAAAAATGAAAAAATCGATTAACTGATCAATTAAAGACAACAATGACATTATAAACTGTTTTATAGGGCTGTCCTGGTTGATTTTTTATATTTTGTAATTTATTATTCTTGTATGTCCAAGTAATTTGTACAAATATACGAGGGCAGCGCCAAAATTTCCCAGCCTGAATATGAAAGAAACAAAGTAGAGTAACATTTTTTTATTATTTTTCAATATAATCCCCTTTAACTTCAATACACTTATTACATCTCTTTATTAGCAACTCAATCCCTTTGTCTGCAAAATGAGCTAAAACAGCCTCTTTTAACTCAATTTCGTCGTAAAACCGCCGTCCACGTAAGTGATTTTTCAAATATCCAAACAAATAATAGTCGCTGGGGGCCATATCTCGACTATAGGGAGGATGATCTTATCTGTTGGAACCCACACTCCAAAATGACAGCTTGTGCAACACCAGCAGTATGGACAGGTGAATTATCATGCAAAAGACGCACGCCTCTGGTCAGTTTTCCTCTACGTTTTACAGGTATGCAGTCTCGCAATATATGTAATAATGTTGCGTAATATTTACCATTCACAGTGGTATTAGTTTCTTTAAAATCTATCAAAAGGATTCCTTCACAATCCCAAAAGATCGAGGCCATCACTTTTTTATTGACTGGCAGACTCTGAATTTTCTTGGGGGTGCACAGAGTTTCAAAAAAGACCCCGTACACTCGACAGGGCGTTGTTTTTGAATAGCCCAAAGGTTTTTAGGAATCCACTAACGTTATGCATACCTAAATGATCATGCAGGAATCTTAGTAATTTCTGAGGTTTCCTTGACTTTTAAACGTCGATCACTCAATACCACCTCTTCCATAATCGCAACAATATCTTCCGTTATGACCTCCACCAGTCGACCAGTTCTTGAACCATCTTAAAGGGACTCCTGCCCCATTCGATAACATTTTGCCCATTCTTTCACTACAGAATACGAAGGAGAACTTTGGCCGTACACACTATCCAGCCTTTTCTTAATAATTTTAGGTGCTAACCCTTCTATTGTCAAAAACTTTATGACTGCTCTATACTTAATTTGCGTTGTTTGCGACATTTTTTCGGACACGTCTTCAATCAGAAACTATTTGACGCAAGACTTCAATTTTTTTTCTCAACCTACTAAGATATATATTTAAAAGAAGACAAAGTTTTATCGTGATACTGGGCTGCATCTATGTCAGGCCGGGAAATTTTGGCGCTAACGTCGTAGGTCCAAAAAAAATGGATATAAAAAGAAAAGTGCCTCATTACATATGAATTATGCACCGGCACTCGCTCTCGCTGCATGCAATCGAGTGGCTGCCGCTTCGCGGGCATCCTCAATTGGTCAAGACAAAAGTGTCCCATTCTGATTACGTTCACTCTACAGTCTATACTATCCAACGAAAATAATTACCTCGCAAAATGTCAGCGGCGCACCTTTTATTTTTCAAAAATATGCGCCACAACGCGGACCACTATGTACCAATAAAAAATCGGGTTGTGCACCTTAAAATTTATCTTGATGGACTTTATTAAAAGTTTACAAAGATGTCTACAATCATTTTTTTCTACATCACTTCTTGTTTTGAAAATTTAGGACCTCTTATTCATGTAATGTTTTTTTCTTAAAATGAGCTCAAGAATTACAATCTTCAGTATTGGTGGGTATAGTCGCCTACAGTTATGGGCGAGTGATAAAATCGATTAGATCTAACAAAAGTTATTTTTCCCACCTTTGGAAAATATGATAATATGTTATGAAGTTAATGGTGATTAATAAAAAACACTTCACTTAAGTAACTGAAAAAATTAGCTGTAATATAAATGGTTATTCTTTTTGCATTTTTACTCCTCAAACGTTCTCCGTATCTTAAGGTGGTGGAAAAACAATCTCGAAGATCCCATGTTAAAACTTGTTAAGTAATTTTAAATTGCTCGGGGATCGGTAATCGTTTCGCGGCAGTTCTTTCATCGGGATACAATTCCGGGGTCAGGATATCGAATTTCTATCCTTTTAAAAGAGCCAGCACGTCGAAATGTATTTTGCCTTTTCAATTATTTTTTCCGTATTATAGTAATCATATTATTTCAGTCTTTTCTGCGACTCGATCTTTTGTCGTCTGTAGTAAGCAGCTTTGAAGTTGGATTAACTTTTTTGTATCAATAATCCTCATACCGGGAATAATTGAGTTAAAGACAGAATGAAGGTGGAAGCTAATTTATTTATCAATGGTGTACGACTTGAATTTTAAAAAATACGTTTTGGACTTTTTTGAGTATAGCATAACGCAACCAAGATTTTCCAAAAATTATGTGTTGCCGTTCCAGATCGTCCATGGTAACCAATATAATTAGAGCTTCCTATCCATTATGCTCTCAGGTTGAACTCCACTCTCCTGTACTCCCGAGAAAGTACTATATTTTTGTAACTACATGTCTCACACAGAAAATAAAAACAAAATTTGCAGATATCGATTACGTATTTTGCGCAGTAAAATTGGAAAGGTTTGAAAGCTGCCTCACTGGCAGAAGGTGGGAAGAGCTCGGTGTCATTGATTTTTTTGTACCAATAAAATGGTGCTGTTTTAATGAGTTTTCATATTTTCTGGGCTCCGGACGAGCATAGAAGTTAAATAACATTTAACACACTACATACTACAAGCATATTTTTCATAACAATCAGTTTTCGCAAAAATTAATTAAAATAAATTAAAATAAAATTAAAATTGAAGTTGAAAAAGAACTTTAGCTAATTAGTAGAAAAAAAGTTTCTATTTTTCCCATTTCTACTGCTCTGTGTAGAGGTAAAATTTTGTTTCAGGCGCTTTTCTGGTACCCTACTGCATTATGTTGATCATCGGAGGAATTCCTTTGTTTTACATGGAATTGGCACTAGGACAGTACAACCGGAAGGGGGCAATCACATGTTGGGGAAGGCTGTGTCCCCTTTTTAAAGGTAAATAACGGGAAACAATATTCTGCAAAATGCCAATCACAATTACATGCTTTTTACAAAACTTCTGGATTCCTGCTGCGTCGGTTTTTGCTAAGTTTAACTTGCTAATGTTGGTTGGCTGTTGGCTTCTTCAGAGCTTGACTGAAACTGGTTCGCATTTTACTCTGTACCTGCTTATATATTGTTTGAGTGGGACGAAATTAAATGAGAGGCATAAACACCGTCTCGGATGACTTATTCCCATATTGGTGACAAGTAAAGACCTGAGTCGCGTATAAGATTGTTTGTTGTTGTTTATAGATTTCTATAGACTCTCGGACTTTTCATTGGTAGATGAATTGATTACATGCAAGAATTTTAGTTTTATCGAATAAAATTTAATATCCGGTTTCGTGAGTGTGTTCGGCAACTACTAATGAGTTTATTTGTCTTTCATCTTCTTTGAGCCTAGTTGATATTTTTCGTCCGGTCTCTCCAATGTATTCATTGCCGCATATGCATGGAATGCTGTAAACTTCTGGCATCTCAAATGGAATTTTGTCTTTGACGGATCGAAGGTGTTGAGAGATTTTTGGACAATTAGTAAATCTGGTTTTGACGTTATATTTCTTTAGAACATTTTATATGCGGTCAGTGATGTTTTGAAATTAAGGAAGGACCACAGTAGCAAGTGAAGGATTGCTTTCGGACTCATTGCTAGTGTAAGGTTGTGGTGAGGTGTATTTTGTGATGGAACGCTTAATATCATTAATTTGGAAATTATTAGAGAGTAGAGCCGAGGTAAGGTGTTTTAATTCTGGGTTCAGTGTCTCGAGCTGAGATAGTTTTACAACTCTGTAAACAAGAGAGTTGATAACCGTTGATTTTTGTTCCGGATGGTGATGTAATAATGCAGTAAAGTATTGGTCTGTGTGCGTAGATTTTCTGTAAATACAATGACCCAATGTTAGGTCTGACTTCCTATTGATAAGAAAAACACCGTCTCGGATGACTGATTCCCATATTGGGGACAGGTAGAAACCTGAGTCGCGGTTAAGATTGTTAGGTTGTTTATATATTTCTGCAGACTCTCGGAGTGCGTTCGGCAACAGCTGATAAGTTTATTTGTCTTAGTCGTAAGGCTCTTTCGTGTTCTTTGAGTCCAGTTGATATTTTTCGTCCGGTCTCTCCAATGTATTCTTTGCCGCATATGAATGGAATGTAAACTCCTGGCGTCTCAAATGGAATTTTGTCATTGACGGACCGAAGATGTTGAGAGATTTTTGTGCAAGTGGTAAATCTGGTTATGACGTTATACCTCTTTAGAACTTTTGATATGTGATCCGTGATGTTTTGAATGTAATTGCTATTGGAAGGTTGTGGTGAAGTGTATTTTCTGATGAAACGCTTAATATCTTTAATGTGAAAATTATTAGAAAAAAGAGTAGAGGTAAGGTGTTTTAATTCTGGGTTCAGTGACTCGGGCTGAGATAGTTTTACAGCTCTGTAAACATGAGAGTTGAAAACCGATGATTTTTGTTCCGGATGGCGATGTAAGCATGCATTAGGTATCGGTCTGTGTGCATAGGGTTTCTGTAAACACAATGACCCAATGATAGGTCTGATTTTCTATTGATAAGAATATCTAAGAATGTAAGATTTTTATTAGTTCCCAACTCAACGGTAAAACGTATGTTAGGGTGTATAGAGTTTAAATGTCTAAGAAAATCTGCTGGGGATTCTTGACCATGAGGCCAAATGACAAAAGTATCATCGACGTAGCGTTTCCATAATTTTGTTTTAAATGAAAGATGTCGAAAGCTTGCTTCTTCGTTCCACATTAAAGATATTAAGGGTTCCATCACAAAATATACTTCACACAATCTTCCAATAGCAATTAGTCTGAAGGTAATCCTACACTTGTCACTGTGGTCCTTCCTTACATTCAAAACATCACTGACCACATATCAAAAGTTCTAAAGAAATATACGTCAAAACCAGATTTACCACTTGTCCAAAAATCTCTCTACATCTTCAATCCGTCAAAGACAAAATTCAAATTGAGAGAGTATACAGCATTGGAGAGACCAGACGAAAAATATCAACTAGGTTCAAAGAACATGGAAGAGCCTTAAGATTAAGACAAATAAACTCATTAGTAGTTGCCGAACACAATCACGAAATTATACATAAAATTTTATTTGATAAAACTAAAATTCTTGCATGTAATCAATTCATCTACCAACGAAAAGTCCGAGAGGTCTTTACTTGTCACTAATATGGGAATCAGTCATCCGAGACGGTGTTTTGCTCCGCCCCCCTCAAACAATATATGAGCAAATACAGAATAAATGCGAAGACTCAGCAAAAACCGACGCAGGAGGAATCCAGAAGTTTGTTGGAAGTTTCTATGAAAAATTCACAATTACATATTAGTGATTATAAATATTTCGACATCTCACATATTTTTCCTGTGTAGAGTGTAGGTTTTTTAATCGAACCAACTAAAAAGAATATAACAAAGTTCATGGAGTTTTTGAAATTTTGAGTCCCTTCACTGGAAGATATACCCGTTCAAAAATACATTTTATTCTATATTATTTGATAGTTTTCATAGGGTACTATCTGGCATATCTCCACTTCATTAATAGGTTGAATGAAACAGCTTCACGACTTAAATATCGTCAGTCTTTAATTTATTATCATGTTGATTGAAGGCAAGGAAGGAAGGAAAAAACACAGAATGTCTTGAAAAGAAATCAACATTTTGAAACAACAAAACAAACATAAGAAACTGTTTCGAGATCGATTGAAAAATTGCGTACACCAAAATTAAAAAAAAAATCGGAAGCAATCATTCAACAGTCAATGGTTTAGAAGGAGGACATTTTTTTTTCTAATGAATGCAGATTGAAATTGATATGTTAATGCAGCAAGTTCTGAACTTATTCGCATTCAACGCGCCTCGCGACTAACACCCGAATAAATGCGACGTCATAAAAGTAAAAAACCCGAGCGGAAATGGCTTCCGAAACACCCGAAATCCACACGAAGAACATAAATTTTCCGTACTAGAGCTTTCTGCTCTTTTTCCACTAGATCCTCGGAGACGAAATAATATCTGCTTTTGTCGCGCAAAGACGCACTTTGATGGCCTGGCTTCCGGTTTCCGCCAGCATCCGCAGATTACCCGGAGTGGATAATTGACTCCGGCTTTCGTTCTGCGGCCATGATTTGTCGGTCGCTACGTGTTGAGTATGCTCTATTGTATGGTATAAAGCACTTGTTTAAAATTATACGAAATTATTGGCTCAGTGGGTTCTTTAGATTTGATAAAGACTACCTCAATTAACTCATTTGATTTCACTATGCAGCATAAATAAATGCCAATAAATAAAATTTTATGTAACAAATGATAAGTATCTTGAAACAGTTTAATATTTGTAGTTTCCAAATTTTTGTATTGAAACATACAAGGTAACAGCATAAGGTAATTATATAAAGAACCTAATAGAGGATGCATTTATACATGTCAGAAAAAATCTTGCGACAAATGCAAACAATAAAAAATAATACAAAAATAAAAACTCTGAGCATCTGAGAAACAAATCGTTTGACTGGCCATGATTTGCCAGCTCGAGCTTGGTGTGCGAGATCCAACTTAGAAATGAAACTAAAAGAAACTTGAACTTCCATTGTCTTTATTTTACATGATTACACAACGTTTGACATTGATCACTATATAAACTGAACTAATGGGTTGTTAAAAACGGTGTTAATATTTGCTTGCTTTAAATTTTCGATTTTTCCATATCTCACTGTTTCGCCCATCCGTGTGTTTTCAGTGTTCTTAGAAGCGTATGTTTAGAGGTCGTTCTGTTTCTCAAAATTTGATGCATTCAGTAAGTGCATAATAGTGAGGTCTATCGGAAAGTATCGTCAATATATCTAAGTCAGATTTTGAGTATGAGGGGTTTCTAAACCATTATATGTATATAATCGATATCATCGAAGATGGTCAGGAGAGATTTCAAACATATTAACCAAAACTTATACTTGCTTTATAAAATACAGGGGATCCATCTATAAAATATTACATTTAGTTGATTACCTCCAAAACGAGAATACAATAATATGTGTGACAAGTTTGAACATTAAACAATAATAAAATATCTGTTGGCAATATTATCAAGTTATAAACATATCAATTGGTTAAAACTAATTAATTTTAAAACCTAAAAAAAATTTTCAGCAAATTCTGGTAATGTGCGATGAAGCTGTTAATTTATTAGTTATGGTAACGAAAACAAGTTATGAACACATCAGAAGTAAAATTAATCAATTTTAAAAAGTAAAAGATACAAGCTTTTCAATAGATTAATAATCATGCTATGGTACTGTGTGAAACAATTTTGGTAATATCGGATGAAGCCGTTAATTTATTAGTTATGGAAAGCAAATCAAGTAAGGCTTGGTAAGCATAAAGTTGAACCAATCAAAGAAATTCATTAATTGATTCATGTGATAATTTATAGATGGACTCGACATATTTTACAGATTTCAGTAAGAAACGCCCCGGTTGTTAAAAAGTCAACATAAATGCTTATTAGCAAAATTCAACTGTAATGAAAAATCAAAAAATTTATTTAAATGTACATATTAATTGTGATTAGCAACAAACGCTGTTTTAGGGCATTTTTGAGAAACACTTGTTTCACCTTCCTGTGAACGATGTTTTAGTTACTTTTTTTTATTTTCAAAAATATCCGTCCGAGTTTGAACTATTTTTTAAAGGGCTGTATATCATTACCAGCTTTGATCTGGGTAATCTTTTATCGAATTTGATGATGAAGGGATATATAAATCAATTCGGAACTTTGTTCAAAATTTCTGGTCATATTATATACAAAATAATCGTCACGGCTCTTGTGAAAATGGTCGCGAATGGCCACTTACGTGTCGCCGTTTCCTATAATTTACGATGCCAAAGTCAAAGTGCCGCGAAATGTGCTTTTAAGGGTTTTTATGACTGAGAATTAAATTTAAGAGGCCATGTTGCTTTATTGTCAAGCTTTGGAAACGATTGCAGGTGTATTGGGTATCGTATTTTCTTTTATATTAACATTCAAAAATATAGACCATGTAATGAATCACTAGTATCCAACAAAACATTCAGATTCTTTTCGGGCTTCGATATGTTGACGACAGCTAAATTCCACAGCTCGGGTTCACTTATAACTATATCAAATATGCTATTAAGAAAAAGATTAAATCTTGCCTGCTATTTCTAGACGCATTTGTGAGTAAAATTAGTAAATCCGTCATCACAAATGTATGTCGAAATCTATATGGGATTATATCTAAGTTATCAGTCTCACAATTCAGGAACAACGAAACTTGGAATATTTAATACATTATTTAAACTAGCAATGACAATATGCAGTAACCAAGTAGATCTACTCCAGAATGGTTACACTAAGATATATCTTAATTATGCATATAATAACATATAACAACTGTATAGTTGTAATGTTCATTGTGCCGGCATGTTTATCCCGGGGTTGATAACTTGACTTTGCGTAGAGAAATAACTCTCGGTGTACAACACCGAGTATTCCATTTACACTTTACATGACTGACTAGTCCACTCTAAAACTTAAGTCAATTACAGAAAATATTGACTTGTCTGGTAAGGTACGTAAACGAAAATTCTCTTACGCTTATGCTTAAAAAACTAAAGTTATGTGCTTTAGTAACTCCCCTTCGGCACACTCAGCCAAAGCTCTTCTTGGATGCTTCAATGCTTAATTACCTTGGTTTAATTAACTTGGTGACTTCTTCCTCTTTGTTTAGAGAAGTGGCAGCCACGACAGTTTCCAAAGCGAGTCAGGCAGCGGAGGTCGCATTGTCAATGCTGAGAAAGAATAAACTTTCCTCTTTGGGCGCAATTAAAAAAAAATTATTAAAATTTTTTTCCGGATGTCTTCCAGCTTGGGGCATATGATATACCGACATACTTGAGCGAGTACAGACCAACTTTTTAAAAAGGTTATTGTTTCTTCCTAAATCAACTTCAAGTGCCTTGCTTCTCCTTGAAACAGGTTCCCCACACTTAATTGATCAAACCTTTAAATCTTGCCTGAGCTTTCTTATGAAACTGTTAAGAATGGACGAGAGTCGTCTCCCGAGACTGTGTTTTGATTGCCAGCTGTCTCTGATTTCTAACACAAGCCATACCACTCCAGATTATATAGCTTTTTCGTGAGTTGGGTTATGCTGAGTAGTGAAGCAAAAGAATATATATCTTATAATGTTTTAAAACAAAACACGAATATTTACTCAGGCTTTGCACCCTCTGATATACCACCCAGCTATTTAAATTGCCAATTGCCATTTTAAGAATTATTGTACAATTAAGATGGACTAATAACATTTTTCTTGAAAGTCCTATAAATGCTGCGCTTACCATTAAACCCGTTCAGATTTGCCCCGTGGGTTACACTGAACAATTTGAAACAATTTGCTACCTTCTATTCACTTGCCCGATGTATAATGGTCTCCAATAATAATACCTTTATTACCGTTTTAAAAAAATTGGACTCACACGTCTTACTTATTTTATTATAAATAAAATAAAGACCCGCGCTAAGAAATGAGTAAAAATAAAACTGTAATTTGTATCTGTGTATTTCAAATCACATGCTGATAGATCCCTATTAGTTTACTATTTTGTTTTCTTTAGGCTTATGTAATGTCTGATGCGGATTTCTTGTTGTAAATATTAATAATAAACTGATGATGATTTGCATTTTCTAGCCTAAATCTACTAACACGATCAGAATGCCTTGACGACGTGCTTATTCTTTGAAATGATCAGACGTATAGCGAAAGAACATAACATCAAAATAGTTTTAAAAAGTACGACAAAAATCAATCCCGAAATATGGGATCAAGAGTGCTTCCACCAAATACCTTGCAAATACGGTGACTCGTTCATTTGAGAAACAAAATTGCTAAATATACATTTGCAAGAATCCGAAAAGCACACACAAATTATAGGCTGCAATGTAACAAATACTAACACTGTTTTTAGCGACTCAGGTGACCCATGGTTTGGCAACCACTAATAAAGCTCACCAGTCCGTCGTGGACAACATCATGATTGATGTCAGTCCACCCGGTCGCGGATGAAAAGCATAACTGAGTGTATAAAGGCAGTGGTCTCCAGAATTTGTTTAGTTTACACTTAATACAGTGTTTACACTGTCTAAAATGGTGTGTAATTCAGTAAAATAAAGGCAATGGAAGTTCGATGTTCTTTTAATCTTATAAACAGATTCTATTTTATGAGAGATTTAACTATTCTTTAACTATTATTTTATTTATTATTCCATCACACGATTTGGCAAGCCTAGTGAACTGCTACAAAAATTATTTAGAATATCATTTAGATCACGATGTTTGCAATCCAACGTGTTCCAATAAAACTACATGATCTTTGGGTAAAAGCTTGAAAATTGTCATCGAAATTTGTAGGTTGTGCACTGAATAAAGAGGTTTCAGGTCCCAGATGTATATTCCAAACGGAAACGAATTAATGTTATTTACCAATATTTGGTTCGATTCTGTTGGAAACAGAGCACCGGTTAATGGCACAGGTTTTAGAACAAGTCCGGCCGTTATAAACATGCTCAAAAAGTAGAAGGGCAACGTGGCACCTTACAAGTACTCCAAACCGTGAATCAAAATCTATCGACTCTCTCAGATAGCTTAGGCAACCAAAGGTATTAGAGAAGTTACCTATGTTCAGACTTATTCTTATTCTTATTCCCTGACTATGAATTGGTATTGCTCAACAGAATACCTAAGATTGGAAAGGAGGCACGATAGTATTACATTCGGCACATAACTACAACTAGAATCCACTTTGCATAGATATCAGACATTTTATTACTAATCCCAAAAAAAATCCAGGGAATTGAGCCGGTCCATACCATTATTTTAAAAGACCATGCAGTGAAATAGTATTATTTTTAAGTTCGACATTAAAGAATTTCATAAATTAAAAATCATATTGTTATGGATGCGATGAATTTGATGTTGTATATATTCGAGGGCGTTGACTTGTCGCTATTTGTTGTATTACGCTTTATTGTTAGTTCCTATTGTTTTCATTAGGAATTGGTTACGCCGTAGTTTTGATAGCTTTCTACGTTGACTTCTACTACAACGTGATCATAGCGTGGGCTCTGCGCTTCTTTTTTGCTTCGTTCACGAGCATGCTTCCTTGGACGACTTGCGACAATGAATGGAACACACCAAATTGTAGACCGGTAAGACTCTTATACGAGAAGTACTCGTTACCGAATTACAGTAAATTAAAAATTTCATATCATACTAATAGGTTGTATCGTTTGTTAAACAACACCATTCCCGTTGATTTCTTAAGTGGATGTCAACAAAAAATGAAATCCAGGCTGAGCCAAACAACTTGTTTGTTTTGAGAGCGCATCTTATTTGATGAGATAAAAACTTTTCGACATGGACAAATTTTATGAAAAACTCACTGGTTCAAACGAAAATTGTCTATCTGCACCCGTTTGACCGCTAGAGGGCGCTTGTGAATGTAGCGCACAAACACTTATTATTCTATATGATTCTCGCATATATTTTGAGTCTATAAGAAAGAGATTATAAGTATTACAATTAATGCATGACATGTTTCTTCCAGTTTGACTATGTGTCTAGAAACAGCAGTGACGTGAATTTGACCCGCCCAAGATCTTTGAATAATGATTCAGAGGATACTTTAGCATCGGCCGCTTCGGAATACTTCGTGTAAGTGTTTTACAAAATAGTTTTAAATAGTAATAGTAATAGTTTTCTATCGATTTGAACGGAAGAGGCCCAAATCATTTCGAAAATATACAAAAGTAGAGGCATCATGAACCGCCATAATCTCCTGTCCAGTGAAACAAATAAACTTGGGGAATCAAAAACTACTAATTTCTCCTAAAACTACTTTAATAATGTTCTTATATTCTTTATTCAAATGTCAGGCATATTTACAGTATAATTTATAATCATTTGAAAAATAGAAAATTGAAATCAACATTTTGGTCCACCAAGACCTATTGCAATTAATCACAAATGTCTCGAAAATATTTGAAAGCATCATACTGACTATAGGTACAAGATACCCGGACAAAGTTGTAATCCTAGTAAATGTGGAAGAAAAACTGAAATTCCGGGTTTTGCATTTTATTTTTTTAATAGTTTATTTTGAAACTTAAAAAAAATTACAAAATCATTCTCATTGGAACTTCATCTTCCAGCGAATTAAAAAATGAAGTTGTTTCTGCAGTTATATTATTCATTTCCTTAGTTCATGCCTTCTGTCACGATCTAAATAGATAGAGGGGAATGCATTTAAATTGGAGTCGAGCTCATTGTGTCTAAGTTTGGTGTCCAGGTTCGCCAGTTCTTCCCTCTTTTGTGTTTTTGATTGCCACTTAGACCTTCTGTCGTTGTTCCGTTTTTTCTGTGAAGTTTTGGGATTATTTAATACGCCGCCATTATAATAAAATAAATGTTTGATATAATTATAGTTAGAATAGTATAAACTAACCATCTTTCCAGTTTCTTTATGCAAAACCTTATTTTTCGCTACCCGAGGCTTTTTTCGAAAGAAGTATGCTTAGGAAATTTCATATTCTACATTTGTCGATCGAGTGCTTGTTTTAATCTAATTCTTCTTTAGTCTAGATTACTTTAGCTACATTAACCGTGTTCAATTATTACAGCCGTGCGATTTTGGAATTACATCGTAGCGAGGGCCTTCACGATTTGGGGGCGATCAAGTGGGATATGGCGATGTGTCTTTTGGCGGTCTATGTCATTTGCTATTTCTCCTTGTGGAAGGGCATCTCCACATCTGGGAAGGTAGTGTGGTTCACCGCCCTTTTCCCCTACGCAGTGTTACTAATACTTCTGGTACGAGGAATTACGTTGCCTGGATCTGCCGAGGGTATTAAATACTACTTGAAACCTGATTTTACAATGATTTCTTCAGCAGAGGTAGGCCAAATGCGTGTATCAAAAAATGAAGATGTAAGAAATCAGAGTTTGCGGAATATATATATATATATATATATATATATATATATATATATATATATATATATATAGAGTTGCCTCTCTCTCTAAAACTATTGTCTGAAACACTTCAAAGAACGGCGCCTGTTTTTGTGCTGTGACCAAAACAAATGATAAACTGGAATATTTCAAATATCGTCAATAAAAAATAAATATTAGTAAGCCGTTTTAATTCACACTTTTTTGTTATTCTATCTACTTGATTTGGTATCGAAAACAAGTGGCAGTAGTAGGCGTTGACGCCTTAAGAATTCGAAGACCAGAAACAAGAACTTTTTCCGATATGACAACTAATTTTAAGAATTGGTTAAAAAAAGGTTAGGTAGCAAAAATAAGTATTTTTTATGAACTAACATAAATTTAATAACAATTCTAATATTATATATTTAAAGAGCTGATTCTTTAAAATATAACGTTAAACACGCACATATTCTGTTATATTCTAAAATTGGCTGTACGACTTTAGATATCAGAATATAGTACCTGTCTAGATAATACATGGTTAACAAGTTTACAGGACTAAACATTTCTTAAAGTTCTACAGTCTTCTGAAAACACCGAAAAAATAATATAGATGATTATAGTTTATCAACTTGATCCACTGAACATACAAAATTTTTTATATCTAATTATACAAACCGATCGTCGAAAAATAAAATCCACCTTGTACAGATTCTCGCGGCTGCTGTTGAGCATGTTGTACTAGTCGCATGAGACATCTCGAGCGAGGCAATTTATATATTTTTCTGTAAACTTTGGTATTATTTTTATAGATTGATTTTTTAAGGTGTGGGTGGATGCGGCCACTCAAGTTTTCTTTTCTTTGGGACCGGGCTTCGGCGTGCTACTAGCATACGCATCTTATAACGAATACCACAACAATGTATACAAGTAAGGCTAACTTATTATATTGACTATGTGTAAATGTAATCCTTGATACTCGTCATTTAGAGACGCCCTACTTACCAGCGTGATCAATTCGGCGACGAGCTTCGTTTCTGGTTTTGTCATATTTTCGGTACTGGGTTATATGGCACATACTGCTGGGCGTTCAATAACCGATGTCGCTACGGAAGGTCCAGGTCTTGTGTTTATAGTTTACCCTGCAGCTATAGCAACGATGCCCGGTAGCATATTCTGGGCCTTAATTTTCTTCATGATGCTTCTCACCCTCGGCCTCGACAGCTCGGTTAGTAATTCACATTTAACTATATTTTGAATATGAATGAATGAATTTCGAATATACTGTGTATAAAGTGTACGTATATGAGTAAATTCGCATTAATATAATTAGACAATTCAATTTTAGAACTATTATCAGCATTTGTAGTTTTGAAATGACTAATCGTCGGCGGTATTTAACCATTCTAAAAATTATTAAATATCTTACTTTCACATTTTTATATTTAGTATAAATAAAATATGTATAAAACGAAATTTGGTTTTCTATAGACAAATTAAGTGGAAAAAACTAAAGTACAGTAATCTTTAGAAGATGACGCTTTCCCCTATGCATACAGGTTTTAATATTTCGAAGGTGGGCCAAAAAAGCAAAAAGGCACTATTCACGTAGAATTTAATGGTTTAAATATAATATTTTTATACTAAAACTAATAGTTTTGATTAGTTAATCAACCGAAAAATCGACTTTTATAACACCCCATACAGTTTTTAATCATTCTAAAGAACCTTTCCAAAAATATGACTTTTAGGACGCTTACAACCATTTCTTTTTATGAAAATTGAGCCCCGGTCACTCACATTAGTTTAATTTAGAAAGAAATTTTTCCCTTTAAAAGTGTCCAATTGGACCACCCTATCCTTACATATTACGTGGTAGTTTATGTATCGTTCGTTCAATTTATCTTGATAATATTTTAATTGGCTGTAACTTTTTGTTTTTAGAGATATCAAGGTAAACAAAAAAACAAAATGTAGGGTTAGTAGCCAATTTTTTTTCCAACTGACGTATAAAAGAAAACACTATCAATTTTCTGACATATAAGCATACATCAAAATATTTAAAATGGAACACCCTGTATATTATAAATTTGTTTACACTCTGTGTATTATACATGTGTTTATTAGAATATCTTATTCCGATTACAATGATGTAACACACTTTATATTTTAGTCCATTCGTTTTTAGCAAAAATAGGAAATGTTTATGTAATTTCAAAGAGTGCCGTGACTGACTTCAACAACAATAATTATTTACAAATTAAAGTAGAACAAATATACTAAAAATATACTAAAATAAATTCTTTAACTATTCTAAATACTTCCAGAACACATTTCTCATATACTCTAATTGTATGACGTCTTGCATTTGTCTCGTAACTGATTGATTGCCTTTGAAATCCTTTGCCGAAGTTCCACGACACTATTAAAAGGAGTTCTGTGCACGTGATTTTTTCCCCAAAAGAAAAAATCCCATTAAAGTTAAGTCGGGGCTGTTGATTGGCCAATCCATAGTTCCGCCGTTCCCTATCCAACCCCTGGAATATTCCATGTTAAGAAAATTTTTAACTTGCACAACATTCTGAGGAGGGACACCACCTTGCTTCCATATTCCATTTAGGGGTAAATCTTCTATATATGGTTCTACTTGGTGCTCTAAGAGTTGCAAATAATGATCTCCAGTTAACTTTTGATCTATAAATATCAAATCTTAATCGATTGGTATTATTTCTTGTATAGGTCTAGGATGATTTAAACACCAATATCGCGTATTTTGTCTATTACAGCCCTATCTTGTATTAAACGAACTTTCATCAGTTCATAAAATGTTTTTCAAAAAATTATTATTCTCATTATGTCTATTTAAAAAATCCAACGAAAACTGCATCCTTTTTTAACATTGTTCTGCACTTAGTTTTTGAGCTTTACGAAATTTAAATCGAGTGGATTGACTCCGAGAAATACCTGTCTCCTCATATACTCTAGTAATAGAGAAAACTGGATGTACTTCATAGAATCCTAATATGTTTGCCTTATTTTTTTCATTTAAAACATTATGATTCCGGTATACCTTTTTAGCATTTGATACGTTACCATTTTCTGATTTGTCAAAAACGAGTGGACTAAAATATAATAGTATATTATGCAACAAGTGCGGTACGAGGGGAGCGAGTGTTTAATAAACGAGTGAGTTAAAAAGTTTACCGAACGTGTTGCATACTATACTTTTTCTACGACCGTTACTTTTTGGCAATATTTTCGTAAAAGAACACGAATACATTCACTGACATAACCGTCAGAATTGACAAATATCAAAATTCAAAGAGTGGGGAAATATCTCCGAAAACATCCGATTGCTCCCAAATCCGAGCGGTAAAATCCCGGAAATGTCCGAAGTGGCTCCGATTCGTGCGCAACGAAACTGACGTGGTAAAGTGTAATCGGAATAAGATATTCTATTAAACACATATATATTATACAGGGCGTTAAAATTTAAAAAAATATGATGGAGGCTTATATGTCAAAAAATTGATAGTGTTTTGTTTTACAGGTCATTTGGAAAAAAAAACTTGGCTACTAACCACCCCACATTTTGTTTTTTTGTTTACCTTGATATCTCTAAAAATTTACAGCAAATTAAAATATTATCAAGGTAAATTGAACCCACCATACAAAAGATGACCTAATAGAATAAATCAGCAACTAAGTTCCCATTATTTGGAAACATGTCGAAAAATGGTTAAACACATCCACGAATAATAAAAGAACAAATATAGGCGAAATTAATTTTTATTTCCAAAGGAATAACAGATATAGGAAAATTTTGTGTTATATGAGTAGTATAACAGTGCTAATTGCACACGACTTTTGGTCTGTCCAAGTTAGCTCGAGAAATTTTTGCATCTTCCGGCATGTTCGCGTTTGCGCAGGGATGTTAGCTGAAACCAGTAGTTCATGCAGTTCACTTTCTTTCCAGTTTGGTGGCTCCGAGGCTATTATCACAGCACTAAGCGATGAATTTCCGAAGATTGGACGGCATAGAGAAATTTTTGTAGCGTGTCTGTTTAGTTTGTATTTCTGCGTTGGTCTCGCGTCCTGTTCTCAGGGCGGTTTCTATTTTTTCCATCTTCTCGATAGGTACGCAGCTGGGTACTCGATGCTTTTTGCAGTGTTATTCGAAGCGGTGGTAGTCTCTTGGATATATGGTAAGCATAAATTACTAACTAACTGCAACGTATATTTTAAAAATCTCCTGCATAAGAAATACAACTTCTAAACAAGATATGTTAAATATATACCAACAAGTTGCTTGACACTGGCACAGTCGCCGATATCACTATGCATGGATTACTCCACGAACAGCGAAGTGCTTGTTTCGTTTAATGTATACAAAATTACCTACTTTGAGCAGAAGATTATGTTACTGAATGAATTACCAAACTCGCATCCACATCCCACGAACTATCGCTCATAGTTCACCGAATGCCGCACTTGTAAAACCGACTTTATGTAAACAAAAACTGAACGTGCGCTTCAGTGTGTTAAGTTTCACATACTAAGATAACCTATTATGAGATTTTGACATATAATTTTTGAAAAAAAAGTTTTACGAATAAATTTGTCAATTTCGCAGGTACCCAAAGGTTCTGCCATGACATCGAAGATATGATAGGATTCGCACCCGGATTGTACTGGAGGTTTTGTTGGACTTTTGCGGCTCCCGCCTTTTTGCTTTTTATCATCGTCTACGGATTATGGTCATACGAGCCGTTGACATACGGCAGTTACGTTTACCCAGCATGGGCGAACGTGCTTGGATGGGCGATAGCAGGCTCGTCGATCATCATGATCCCTGGCGTAGCGATTATTCAATTCCTGATCACGCCTGGGTGTTTCTCCAAGGTAAAATCGTAAATTGTTTTGCATTATTAAAAATAAAAGTATGTATGTTATACACGGTAAATCATTAATTATCGGAAATATATAAACTGTAGAATCATGAGCTCAAAATATTAAGATGTAACCAAAATCACTTAGAGAAAATGGGTCTGCTTACTGATTTACGAGGTGTTTTATTTAAAAATTATTTTTGCCCATTGTTTTCACGTAAACATTAACTAATTTAATTTGTCATACTTGACTATACACTATGAATAAACGTTTCTGGCTACTAGCAGAGTCGTACGACAGTGGCAATAAAAGGCTTCTTAACCCTCCACAAATTCTACGCCACGCAAAATTTAATGCGTAACAACAAAAAATCTTAATGTTATTTATTGCAACTTTTTTCAACGAATAGATGCGTTCAACATTTAAAAACAAGTTGTCTTTCTGTTTTAGTCGTTACGTTAATAAATTAGAGCATAAAATATATTTCATGTATTTCCTATTCTAAAAAATCCAATGCAGTGATCAGACGTGCGCAAAGTGTCACTTGTGAACATCTGCTTCATTCATCACTTTTACGAACCACTTCGAACGTTTTTGCTACTTCGTCGCATATCACTCAGTGAATGTTTTCGTGTTGTTTTGCAAAAGTGCACCCAAAAGCTAATTGTCCAAGAAAAAGTATTGTTACGTTTTTAAAATACACACTCATGCGCGTTTCAGCTTCTCTTTTCAACTAACTAATCAGCTAGCGGGGCGCTGTGCCTTTATAGAAAGTTCGCAATAGCCACGTTCCAAGCAGCGCTGCGTGGCGCTTTAGTTCTTGGGACGCATACGACGCCGGGCTTAGCCCATTAAGGATTGTTAACACTTGACATTTACCTTTACATTACCAATACAGACTGAAAAATATATTTCAGCGTTTAAGAATCTTAACAACTCCATGGAGGGACTCTCAGGTAAGGACCCAATCGAACGGAATCGTCCAGACAGATGCGAACCAAGTAAGGATAACCACCCCCGACACGGCGACTAGTCAAAGCCCAGTCGAGGTGTGAGACATAAAAACCTCCAAATTCGACGAGTATTTTGTTTGATTTTTGTAGAAAATTTCCAAAGCTGTACCTGTTAGACCAAATATTAATAAATGTAGGACCAAAGTTTTAATAATATATCGACGTAGGTCAGTTAGGCCATGTACCTTATGTAAATAGCTATTGCGTTTTAAGCGGACCAATGATCTTAGAGGGCAGTTCTTTTGCTAACTAGCTCATCTATAACTGAAAAATGAAACAACCAGAAGCCTTCGATGATTGTTTCGTTTTTAAGCATAAAAAGCAAAAGAATTTCCCCAGTAGAAGCAATATGAAATCAGGGCCTTCACATGCTTCGGCCATTGTTGCGCTCAAAATTTTCTACCAATTTTATACCAAAGATTAGGAAATAGCCAATCTGCAGCATACACATCGATAAATGAATGTAGATACTAGCGTATTAGAGAAATTGTATTAGGTAGCAATATTGTAAGTAAATCCCAAAAATGAAATGTTGTACAGTTACAATAATTAATGTACGGATGCTAATTGCAAACATCCAATTTTTAGGAAATATTTATTCTAGCGTTTAAGGTCAATATACTTTTCATACACAATCAGATTTATTCACCGAATGGGTAGAGGTATTGTGAATCGCGACGATCAAATCAGCCATTTTGATCGTTTGCGGTTAAGCTCATTTGAGATTAATCATGCATAATTTAGATTTTACAACAGCACCTTTGGACGTTTCCTTTTAACTGTAAATACTAAGAAACATGAAATCATTTTAAAAACATTTTAACTGATTATAACGTAGATTAGCTTAATTTTTTCAAAATGAGGATAAATCTTTCGAATTTATTTAAATTTAAAAAACAAAACTAGCTTTTCCGAAATTTGGTAGATGCCGGGTGATGTGGCGGACGGAATTTTTAATATCTACAAATTAAAGTTTATCTCGTACCTTTATCTGCATTTTTTGAAAATTTTTGCAATTTATTTCACTTTAATTGTTTCGTTTTGTCGCATTGGATTATCTTGTTTTCAGCATTCGCATTTCACATATTCAATTCATTCGATGTGTTTATTAAATACTTTTATATTCTTATAGTTATAATATGTAAACAGTCTTACTGTAAGTTATCTGCAAACAGCCACTGCAAATAGCTTCAAACTACGGGCACTATTTTCAAAATGTATTAAATTCTGTTAATATATTTTTGTTCATAAAATGTGACCTTTAGCTGCGAATCCTTCCATCTCACCTTCAAGTTGAGAAAGAAAACAATTATTTGAAACTACGAGACTCCCAACCTCCATTGTCAGTTATTATTCTGATTGTCAGTTCTATTTAAATATTTTTTTTAATTCGCCTTTCATATTTCATTTGTTGACTTTTTAAAAGAATTGTCGAATTTTCCTTTGTTTGCTATAGTCTAAACAGCTTTTCCTTTTTCCTTTTTTGCTTTAATTACTTTATTTTCTTTTATTTTGCTCCCTAAAATTAATTACTTATCTTCAGGGCCGATATCACAGTTCAAGTAAATTATATATTTGCGACTTTATAAGTAGATGACTTAAAGATAAATATAACTTTTTAAGCATTGGCTTTTGCTAATCAGCAAATGCTACCTTTTTAGTCAATTAGCCCCCAATAATAACTTTTCGTTTCGTGTCAAAAAGATAATAGAAAAGCTCTCTCTTAACGCGCTGTTCCCGATATTCCATTAAACCTCACTTAGAGGCAATTGAATGCACATTTATGACGTTGCCTTCGGCAAAACAACACTAGCAAACAAATTTAATTTAAATGTCACTCATCCTTCGCCATGAAGTACGATCATTTTTTGAAGTTCTATAAAGTGGGAGCTGCACTCGGAACTTTACCATTTTACAATGGAAAAAGTTTCCTGGAAATTTTGTCTATCGCCTGGGTTGTTGCGAATGTACTAGTCAGAACTGGCGTGATAGCTTTATTCATACTACCAAAAACACTCCTTTTCGTCACTCAGCGTACCGCAATCGTAGAAGGAGTCATGGACGGCACAATTTCCACCACTGACTTGATGATACCCGTGACCATTTCAGTATGGCATTCGTCGTTGGCACGACAAAACTGGATGAACTTTTTTAAACTGGTCAACGAAGTGCGGACCGCTCTGCAAACCAAAAAATACCAAGAAACGGGGGATAAAATTTTCATTTTACTGTTCATAGGTACGAACGTAACGATCTTTTACTCGTCTACGCATAAGCTTCTAAACGTTTTAATATATGGAATGGAGGTAGATTTGCCGGTATTCTGGGCCATTACTCTTCTCGATTCGATGAGGATTTTTTTCAACTATGAGTTTTTTCTGCTGGAGGCGTCTTTACTCTACCTCAAGGACAGATACGCGGACTTACACAATTATTGCTCCGGAAAACTAAAAGACGAAGACGTTTCGTTTGTTCAAGAAATTAAGGAGATAGCTTCAATTTTTAGAAAATTATTCAACATCTCGCGGAACGTAAACGCAATTTTTCAGTTGCACATGGTGGCCACTTTCTTTTGGTGTATCATCAACAGCCTGTACTTTTTGGAGTATTTGATATTCGGATATTTCGGACAGACCGCAGAACTTCTAGAAATGGAGGACTCGATACGTATGCTTTTGATTGCGGTAAGACCAACACCTTTAGCTAATGTTGCTTATTATTTTACTACCATCATGCAGTGTGTCCCCCACTCACCCCCGGGGTGGACACTCCTAGACCTTTGAAAGAATTTGTTAAGTACTATGTACGGTTACTGTAAAATAATGTTAATCCTAGTTAAAGCGAGTACTGATTTAAAAAGGACACAAATTCTAATGAAGTCAATATTTCAATAGTTTTTGCTCTATGTCTGAAAGGGAAGTAGTGGGAGGTGTGTCAACATTCTCGAAAATAAATGTAGATAATACCACCAGTTTATATATATATATATATATATATATATATATATATATATATATATATATATATATATATATATATATATATATATATATATATTTCAAAAACCACTGTACAACAGAAAAAAGCCTTCAATTTTCAACTGTTTTCGAAATGAAATTAATTTAATATAATTTAGTTTAACTTAACCTCAGATCCAGGGTGTGTAGCAATTCCGCCTATTATTATAATGGGTTTTAAATTTTAGAAACATTAACGACACTTAGGAAGCAAGAAAGTATAACTTGTCTAGCTCCGTTGAAACTTTTATATGCATAAATAAAGACCGTTCATTAGTCGGAGACATTTTCAGGAAAAGTACATTTTAAACAGGTCTCAAACACAATGCAGTACAGCTACGTATCAAATTTTTATAAAATTGGTGTTGCCATTGGGATCGTACCAAATTGGAACGCTGACACTAAAACGGGACTGGTCCTAAGTATCATTTGGGTGCTGACATTTATAACTGCTAAGTTGTTGGTTATTGCGCTATTTATAATACCTAACACTTTGCCCTCTATCTCTCTTCGAATGAGCATTGTAGAACGCACCATGGACCTGACCATCTCTACAACAGATTTAATTTTTCCCGTGATATTTTCGCTATGGCACTTGTGTAACCGCAAGCCGTGGAAAAACTTTTTCAAATACTTAGTGCAAGTGAAAACCATCCAGCAACATCGGAAATACCAAGAAACCTCGTCCACATTCTTTTTAGTGGTGATGGTGATTACTCTGGCTTTAATTTCGATAGCTTCGTTACGAAAATGTTTGACGTATTTATTTGTCGACTCTCAGTATACTGACACATCCGTTATCATGTGGGCACTGTTCGCTATCGATGCACACAGAGTCTTTTTCAACACTGAGTTTTTTCTGATGATTGCTGCCTTCTCTTATATCAGAGACAGGTATACAGATCTAAATTCATATTTTTCTATGGAAATTGCAACCGCCACTGACCAAAATGCATTGTTCTTTAAACGGAATAAATTTTTACTGTGTTCCAAACGAATCCGAGATGTGGGCATGATTTTGCGTACCTTAGACAAGTGGGTAACGAACGCCAATATCATTTTCCAGTGGCATATTTTAGCTATTTTTCTGTCGTGCGTCATCAACAGCCTGTATTTCTTGGATTATATGATTTTCGGCTATTTCGGGCAGACTGTTGAACTTTTGGAATTGGAAGACGCAATACGAATGCTCTTGATTGCCGTAAGTAGAGCCATTGAATATAAACAGGGCAAAAAAGGTCGCTCCAAGCTAAGCTTTAAATGTTACCAAGATTGGATACGCACAAGGTTCATGGGATATGTGTGAACCACCGTAAAGATGTGATAGAATTATCAAAAATTTGGGATTTGAACTTTAGGGAAGGAATTGATTTATTAAAGACCGTTTTTGCCAGCTTACATACAGCAGTTTATTTCATTAAAACCAGTTAAAGAAACCGAGTGATATAAGCGACGTTTTTCCTCCTGTTTATTTTCTGTGCTGAACTTAAACAAAGTAATTGCAGAGTAGATAGAGTATGCAAGCAGTTTATAGAAAAAGTATTTGTCGAGAAAAATTTTTTCTGAATCTATTTTATAAAAATCACGATACGGAAGTTCGTACTTAATTAACTTTCAAAAAACAATGTCGATTTTTAAAACCAGTGCCACAGTTAAGGGGTAACAATTTTAGTTTCCTCATAGATAAATCTATTTTTATACTTGTGGAAATTTAAATTGATAAAAAGAACAGTAGAAATCGTATCTAGTAGATGAGTTTTCTTTCCCCACATTTTTTTGGTGGTTCAAATATGATACCGCATATTGCATCGTTATATCTTTCTTAATTTTGGTTATAGCAAAAAAAAAACACAATTTTAGGTTGACAAAGAAGCGGCTAGCTATTAATTGCTAAATATACAGGGTGTCCCACTAGAATAAATTACTTTTTACAATGGACAATTCGTTTGTCGTTGAAACTATTTTATTAGTAATTTTTACAAAACTTCTGGATTCCTCCTGCGTCGGTTTTTGCTGAGTCGAACTTGCTGACGTTTCGCCAGTCTCTGTACCTGCTTATATATTATTTGAGGGGGGCGGAGCTAAATGAGGAGCATAAACACCCTCTCGATTCCCATATTGGTGACAGGTAGAGACCTGAGTCGCTGTTAAGATTGTTAGGTTGTTTATAGATTTCTATAGAGTCTCGGATTTTTCCAAGTCAACAGGATGATTGGCAAAACGTCAGCAGCAAGGGGAAATCCAGAAGTTTTGTAAAAACTATTACAGTAGCCTGTGGAAGTTTCTTTCAAAAATTATTTTATTAGTCCGCGGCACAAATATTTCCGTGTTTTAAACTAGCCTTGAGTTTGTTTACCATGTATCAGTATCAACCCCACCAACTAAACCGATTTTGCAGTTGTACACTTTCGGCATCATACGAACGTGTCACGCTCTCAAACAAGAGGCAAAAATCTTATGGTATCTGTGCTACCAACTTGAAGATTTATTTCCCACGCGGTCCATACAACGGAAGCAACTTTTGGACTTTGCAAATGAAATAGAACTGTATCTACCACGAATAAGGGCAGCTGACTTGTTCGAAGTGGACAACAAAAATTTGTGGGGACTATTTGGTGTAGTAACCACTTATCTGATGGTCATTATTCAGTTGCATCCCGATAAGGGAAATTAAAATTTCGTTGTATAACTACAACTATCAAAAATTTGTTTTTGTTTCTTGTATAAGCTTCACAACTTTTGCAAGAAAAAATTTAAAATTTTTCTATATTATTAAATAATTCCGATTACTTAGAAATAAAGAACAAAAAGGTATATCGGTATTCTTTATCTATTGATTTAGAAGTCAACAGAAAATTTGATTAATTTAATAAACAATTAAATAATGTAATAATTAAAGATGTTAGAAGGAATGTTTTGAAATTCTAGGAATATCAATTCACATGCACATTTGTCGCAATTTAGTTTTGTAGAAATATTTAGAGAAAGTATTATTTGATCACTCAATAATAATATGTAAGTAAATTCATTAGAACTTTATCGGTAAATGCAGTTATCAAACAACGCGAACACAATATTCTCCCATTTATATAAATGAGCATTATTAGCGAACTCTTTCGATTGTAAAATTGGCCTGACTTTTCTATCATGCAGTTGCAATTCTATTTAGAGCGAGTTCACTGCATATAATGTTTATTGACATAGGAAAACATATAAATGCAAATATCGCAAAATTTATAACCAAATATTCCGAATACTTGATCTTATCCAAAGCCTAATTTTTCATTTTTATTCAGTGTGAGAAGATTTTTTATTATATTACATTAACAAAATAAATGTTATTTAGTTATCACAATTAAAATATTTTTAATGCGAAAAGAATTTTATTCTTTTACCTTTACTATTTATACTCTTTTGGCATTGCAAATTGTAGTTTCTGTACGCAATGTTAATTTATTTATTTCTCATTGCGAATAATTTTCAGAAGAATCAATTAGATTTCACGTACCTGGCGGAAGTACCTGCTGCTTGCTTCTAATAAAACGTACTTGAATTTTCATAATTTCAGCAATTAGTTAAAAATTTGTTGTGAAGTCTTAGCTTGAGCATGCGTTTGAAATATCGTTTTTTTTTTTCATTTTCTCCCGGGTCTACTACGCGGATTAGTGTTAAGCAGTTTAGTGTATTCCGGCTATTGGAGTCCCCCATTCACACCCCTATCTAGGCGTAGCATTCGCAGTCCCGTGGGAATATCCCTGGAGTCGAAGTTATCGAAGTTGGTCAGTCAATTATGTCGCATTCCGCCCCATAGAGACGTTGCAATTTCTATGTATTTGTGCATATAATTTTAACAGATAAAAATTGCTTTTAGAAATACGTGTATTACTAAGTAACCAAAAATGCATGTATTTTTAGCTGGCAATTTTTTTGTGATAGACACGGTGCCATTTTTGTTTTTAAAAGTTGTTGTTTTTTTCAATTTGAAGTAATAAATGATACCTTTTAGTATTTGTTAGTGTTAAATGGCTAAACTTTATTTTAAAAAATGTTTTTTTATACTCCCTTCTGTAAAGTACCTAATTCTACACTGATCTAGCGTGCGGTAATAGTATTTATGTTGTGATGCATACTATACTTTTTCTACGACCGTTAGTTTTTGGGTGCATTTTTGCAAAACAACACGAATACATTCACTGACATGACCGTCAGAATTGACAAACATGAAAATTCAAGGGGTGTGAAATATGCCCGAAAATATCCGATTGTTTCCAAACCCGTCCCGGAAATGTCAGAAGCGGGTCGCATCTGTGACGTAAAGTGACGCTTCCCACACGCTAGATCGGTGTGTACTTACGGATTGTACAGACGGGAGTAGAAAAATGTCATTTTCACACATGAGTTTCCATTCCCACGGATCCGAGCCACTTCGGACATTTTCGGGATATTACCGGTTTTCGTGACGTTTGTCAATTCTGACGGTCATGTCAGTGATATATTCGTGTTGTTTTGGAAAAAGTACCTAAAAACTAACGGTCGTATTCTCTAAATTTCTGTGCAATTCTCTTATAGTTAAGGCTAATTTCGGTTAAATATTGAAATACAGTTTCTTAAACAAATTGCTTATTGAATTGTTTTATAATAGGTTTTAATTTTCCTGGTTTAATTTTGCAATATCCACAGTTTTTTAAACAAATTTGGGCAGCGAAACGTACGTCTTCAATTAATTGAGATGAAGAAATAGCCTTATCTACAGACTTTACATTAAACATTTTAGGCCTTTCCTGTGCTATATTTAGTACCCCATCAGTTTAATTTACACTTTTAGGAGGCTTCTTTAGTGATTTCGATTTTATTTACATTTTTCATAGAGATATGAGGAAAAAATAACTGGTAATCTCACTGGTAACTGCATTGCAAGCATTATTTATATGAACAAATGTTTGAAGAATACCTTTATTTTTTAAATACATTTATCTAAACAGGTTTGGATACAGGAAGTAATAAGAGAGCGAATGAAAGCGGAATCGTGATTCTCGAGGGAACCATAACACACGGCGATATTGCTCCTGTCCGGTTCCATAAAATATTTAAATCGAATTGAAATTAGCGTCGTTTGATTTAAAATGGTGTTTTTTTGTGTTTTTTGTATTTTGTGATATGTTATTCCATTATGTTGGGATCGGATATCCCCTATGAGATAATTGCAGAAGCAGTTAGAAGAATCGGTCGTCATTTTATGACAATTTATTTTGAAGTTGTTCCACTATGTGAATATGTTAACATGTTAATATGTTAGGAAGGCATCCTTTAGGATTTTTTTAAATCGTTACCTGTTGTTGTAAACTGGCCGAATGACCTTCTATAATGTTGGTCATTAGATGCAAAAAAAAATGGAATGATCTATGCTTGACATTTACGCTAACCTCCAAATTTTGATTGAGGTAAGTTCTAAAATTATGTAATTAGAAACATAATTTTGTCTGGTGCAAAATTCATAGGAAAATCATGGGGAAAGGTTCTCAAACAGGGGGGGTAAAGCCTATGCCCATCGCGGGCCGGTTCATCAATGAACGAGAACGTTTGTTGGGCATGACCGATGCGGATAGAGCTTGGCGTAAACAATGGCTTGAAGATCAACACTTGGCATCCAATGAACCAAGACACGTTCCCCAAATGTACAAAGCGACCTACAATCCGATCAGAAGATTTTATCGTTGGCCACTTGATCAGTTTGAAAATATTCTTACACCAGTCATTGGGTCCAATAAAGCAGCGCATATTAGACACTTCACTGGGAAAGCTTTAATGGGTAACTTGCAAGTGAGATTGTTAGCTAAGATAAGGAAATGAATTTGTAGGTATAACTTTTCTGTATGCCACTGCTTATTATTTTAAATATAATGGAAATGATTGGACTAAAGATGGAGGATGGAGAATGATCAAGTCACGTGAAAGGGTCACCGAAGGTGATCCAGGCTATCCAGCTACGTCAGAAAGAACCAAACCCTCTGATTATGCTTCAAGAGGTTTTAAGGACTTTAAGCTAAATATTTAAGTTCTGCATTGTAGTTACATTATTAATAAATTGTGGTAAAATGTTTTATTTTTTCAAGGCCTATAAAATCTAAAATTATGTTTACTTTGTACCAGCTGCTAACCGACTTTTGTCCAAAGCTTTAGTGGAAAAAATTAAGGCAACTTTAAATCAGACATTTAATGATACCTCTTACTGTTAATTTACATATTGATAATTATTTCCATAATTTCTTGATGGACATGTTTTTCTCAGAATCCTTCTGCATTACCTTTGCTACGGCCATCTCAAAATCTTCCTGTGTTACATGAACCCGTCTCTCTCTGAGAGCATACATTCCAGCTTCAGTGCATACACCCTGAAATAATTATATTGATAAAAAAACTTGTGAAAAAAATCAGACTGGCAAGTTAAATAAATAAATTTGATAACTACCTTGACTTCAGCTCCACTGGCGCCGGGCATGAGTTCTGCAATTTTCCTGAGATTAATACCTCTCGTAAGATTCATTTTCCTAGAATGAATCTTCAAAATATCAAGTCGAGCCTCCTCATTCGGTGGGGGAAACTCTATTTTACGATCAATACGACCAGGTCTAAGCAAAGCAGGGTCCAAAATGTCTATACGGTTAGTAGCCATAATCACCTTGATATTTTTAGTTGCCTCAAAACCATCAAGTTGGTTAAGCAATTCTAACATAGTTCTTTGAACTTCAGAATCACCTCCAGAACCTGCGAAGTAACTCATTCACATAGAAGCTTATAAATGTTGAATACCAATATACCTGATTCAATACGTGAAGATCCAATGGAATCAATTTCATCCATAAAGATAATAGAAGGAGCATGTTCCCGAGCCATAACAAATAATTCTCTTACCATGCGGGAACCTTCGCCAATAAATTTTTGTACAAGTTCTGAACCAGACACTCTAATAAATGTACATTCCGTATGATGAGCAACAGCACGAGCTAATAAGGTCTTTCCTGTACCTAAACACAATATTATTAATTGGGTATAAAATAACGTACAGATTTTAACATTTACCTGGAGGTCCATACAAAAGTACTCCTTTTGGTTGGGCAATGCCCAATGCATCAAATAACTCTGGATGTTTAACTGGAAGTTCTATCACCTCCTTAATTTCCTTGATTTGTTTATCAAGTCCGCCAACCATTTCATATGTTGAGTCTGGAACTTTTTCAACCATCATCAATGACACTAATGGATCAACTTTATTGGGAAGGATTTTGTGTAATGTATAGCTTTCATTTCTCAATGCAACTCGACAGTTAGGAGTAACATCATTTATATCAATATTTTTGTCAATATCAACAACAAATTTTCCTTCTGGATGGACTTTGACCAGAACCTTTTTCTTGTCCATTGGTTTAACAACTTCACCAACATAGCTTCCCTGTTCCTGTAGGAGCATAAGTTCCTCACGCAGCATACGGACTTTCGCATTTAACTCGTTTCTTTGTGCTTGTAAACGTCTAAGATTCTGACTCTTTTCAGCAACAATTAGCTGGAGTTCTTCAATTTTGGTTATATAGTATGAACGGAAACCTTCTCCTTTTGGTCCACCATCGATATCCATCTGTAAATGAAATACTGATTTGTTGTTCCAGCAAAATGGTCAAAAATACTTGTGAAATATCACTTTCAGCATCAGAGTGAATTTCACCTTTGTTTTCTTTGAACTGTATTTTCTTTTTCTTGATGAATTTTGAATTTCTCATATTATATCCGAGGAAAGAAAGATCTTGCCCCATTCCCATTTTTTTTAAAGTCAATAGAAAGTGAAACAAAATAATATTTGACAAAACTCACCTTATTTATTACAGTCATTTTCACAACTTTTCATTCAAATCTGTGATGGCGAACCAAAAATACGAATCATTTATATTGACATAATCAGAGAATAATTATTGGTTATGCTTTTATATAAATATTGGAAATTTCTTTGGGTAATAGTTGGTTACTGGTTACTAGCAAAATTATTAATAAATAATAAATAATATTATGAAATTAACAGTATTAACTAATAGTATGTAAGCAAGATAACACCGCCACGAAATTTCATTGGAAAAAAAAAAGAACGTCAAACCTACCTAAACTAGTCATTAGAAGTAAAGAAGATGAATAGCAAGGTTAGGTTTTTAAAAATATCAGCATTTAGTGGTTTTTAAAAACGCACCCCGATTTATCGTGTCCAATAATGCAACGAAGAGTGGTTGTAACAGGTATCGGAGTATTATCGCCACTGGGTTCAAATTTAAAGCAGGCCTGGAAAAACATAATCGCAGGCCGGTGCGGCATTACGAAGTTAGACGAACCAGAATACGCATCGCTGCCTTGTAGGGTGGCTGGTTTTGTGACAGAAAATGGGAAAAAAATTAATCTTTTAGATCATTTTTCCAAGAGTGAACTCAGATCCATGGCCCCTGCAACTAGTTTTGCTCTACTCTCTGCCAAAGAAGCGTTAGAGGATGCTAACCTGCTCCAAGCTGATGAAGATATTAAACTGCGCACTGGAGTAGCTGTTGGCATGGGAATGATTGATCTTCAAGAGGTATGCAATACCTACGAGTCTCTTCAAAAAGGATACCATCATGTTAGCCCTTTTTTTGTACCTAGAATATTGCCGAATATGGCAGCAGGTCAAATTAGTATAAAATATGGTTTTCGAGGGCCAAATCATTCAGTTTCTACAGCATGTGCAACAGGTGCTCATTCAATTGGTGATTCTTTTCGATTTATAAGAAATGGAGATGCTGATGTGATGGTGTGTGGGGGTGCCGAGTCATGCATTTCCCCATTAGCCATAGCGGGTTTCGGTAGACTCAGAGCTTTAAGCACATCTTTTAATGATCATCCTGAGAAAGCATCTAGGCCTTTTGATAAGCTTCGTGATGGTTTTGTAATGGGAGAAGGTAGTGCTATAATTGTCTTGGAAGAGCTTATCCATGCACAGAAAAGAAACTCACACATTTATGCTGAAGTTTTAGGATATGGCTTGTCTGGAGATGCATCACATTTGACATCTCCTCGGGCTGACGGCACTGGGGCCTACTCGGCCATGGAAAGGGCAATAAAAGATGCAAATATTGATGTATCAGATGTGACCTATGTAAATGCTCATGCGACTTCAACGCCCATAGGAGACATAATTGAAACAAAAGCCATAAAAAATCTTTTTAATAATAACATGCAAGGCAGAGCAATTTCTTCCACAAAAGGGGCGCATGGCCATTTATTGGGAGCCGCAGGAAATTTGGAGGCTGTGTTTGCTATAAAGGCCGTGGAAGAGGGAATTCTACCACCCACAATAAATTTAGAAAACATTGAAGATGAGGAAGTTAATTTTGTGGCAAAAGTTAGTCAGAAATGGAACAGTGAACGACGAATAGCATTAAAAAATGCTTTCGGGTTTGGTGGAACCAATGCCTGCTTATGTATTGCTCAGTTTATTAGATAAAAATAAAAAAATCTCTTTCATTGTCATTAAAAATTGTGATATTATACATGTAGCTAGGATTATTTATTTTTATATATTAAATGAATAATAATAATGATGAATAAATTTTATGCCCACAGAAATCCAAATATTAAGTTTAAAACTCAGATTATTACTGTGTTTTGCGTAAATGAAATTTACAATTAATTTGATGTTTATGCCTCTGTAGTGAGTTATATATAGATCATAATGTCAAATATACCGGGTGTCCAAAGAGTAAAGAAAGGGTGGAATATTGGGAAAATTACACAATTGATTTAAAAAATGCCTCTAAATATTTATGAAAAAAATATTCTAAAACACTAAGCATGCGGATGGGGTGTAAAAGAAAACTTTCAAATTTTAAACTGAAACCCCCATTTTTTATAACATATTCGGATTCTATGCCACAAAAGTTACGTTTTATCCCGTCTTCTTTTGGATTCTGGCTAGATCGCGCTGTAATCGAAAAAAAGGCGAAAGGGATAGAGAATAAAGAAAATACATATTTTTCTACTTCCCACATCAAAATACCCGACTAATTATAAATCAGTGCATATAAACTTTTCTATGACCATTACTTTTTGGGTACATTTTTGCGAAATGTGTGACTATCAGACTTTACATCTAAAAATCACCAATGTTTTAAATTGACCCAGAACGATTTGGTGGGATTACGTTAAAAAGAAAACAGGAATAACTCAAAATATATCTCAAAAGTATTGGCCTCGGATTTTCAGATGAGCCCAAGCAAACTTCAAAATTAAAACAAAAAATTTCAGATTATTTACAAAGATTGCTTTATAAAAAGAGAAAGTAATAATCCATGTATTTTTTAATATATCGTCCAGTGTCTAGAAGGTGCCTTCAATGGTTGTTTTTTGCTTTTCAGTTTTCATATAAAAACTTATACTAACTTTAAACACAAAACTAACCATTTCCAGTGAAAACCGCGTTTTCTAGTTGATTTTTGAGTTACATCCAAATATAACTAATTTCTTGAAAGGCATTTAACAGATTATTTTCTGATGATTTAAAATATCAAAAAAATGAAGTAAACAAAATTAATGACTTGTTTTTTACAATGAAACCCGTGTTTTCTTGTTCTAGTTGATTTTCGAGTTATATCCAAATCTAGTTAATTTTTTGAAAGACATTTAACAGATTATTTTCTGCCTAGATTATGATTTACTACAATATCCACAAAATGAAATAAACAAAATTAATGACTTATTTTTTATTTTGACTCATAAATGTGCTGACCCGCCATAATATAAAGCGGGACCCTGCCCATTCAAAACAATCAATTTTTTAACAATAATAACCCAATATGGAATGCAACAAATACATATAGTACATATATGGCCCGATTTCTCTGAACCTCTTTTTTTAAAATAAAAAGCACTGTTTCAACAATAAATTGATCGCCAGATAAAGAGATTTTCAAAGAACTTTTTTGTATAAAGGATACAATTCCAATCAATCTAATTATCATGTAAAACAAGATGGCAAAAAACTTAGATCTTTTCTTAATTTGAAGCGTATTTAGTCTGAACGAATATGTCCGGCACCTGTAAAGGTCCATTTACACAAAACTGGGCAAACCTCTTCTGTAATGTATCCCTCAACTCTTGCCTCTTTTCATAGACTTGTCTGCTTCTGCTTTTAAACTCCCTCACTTCTTCCGCTGTTATAAAATATTCCTCATCATCTTCGCTATGCACCTAAAATAGAAAATGGAAATACTTTGTGACAGAATTAATTGTTGACTTTCTGGGTAAAAAAAAGTGCTTTATAATAAACAAATTTGAATTTAATTAAACAGAAATTACAAATTTACTAAAATAAATGCAGAAAATGCATGGAGGGTCTGGTAGGCTTAAGGTTTTACCTCCAACATTTCTTGCAGACTCAGTCCTCCGCCACACGTGAGTCTACAGTACGCCGAGAAGTCCACCGGTTCCCGCGGCTGACAACAACTGTCGCTGCATGCCAGTTCTGAACCTTCGGGAGAACTGGACATGCTTGACGTTAAGGACCCCGTTTCGCAACACGCGTTGTTGTACTCAGAGGAATAGCCACAGTCGTGTGAGTGGTCGGAATTAGATCCAAATTCTTTTTTGCTGAAAAAAAAAAGTTGTAGAAGGTACTCAATGCAATAGGGGGTGTGGGATATTTTGGCCAAAATACCTAGCTTTCAAAAAGTTTTACGGATGGAATATATGAATACTATAGATATTTGTATTTATACGTACATTCCAATCAATTATTTACATAGAATTTTTACAGCATAATATCAAATAAAGTTTGTTATATGTTAACCTTAGGTTTTTTCCAATGAAAATTTCGAATTTTGTTAATATCTAAACTGATTTTAATCTTTCAAAAATTGCACATCAACTGACACAAAGCTTGGGTCAAGTGTAACATTCACCAAATTTTACAATTTACATTTGATGAAAATCAGTAAGACAATTAACTAAAAGCTGGTATAATTAAAGTACATGAATAAAAGTAATGAGTGTTCAAAAGCCTACAAAAACATGTTTTAAGGTATTTAAGCAAAATTTATGAAAATAAACCAACTACTGTAAGGAGAGTATCCAAAAATTCAAGATTGGAATGCACCTCAATAATTTTTAGCTTACCAGCAAATGTCTTTTTATTTAATTAAATTATCTTTTGCACAGCACCATTTTGTGTTCTATTTTAAAATAATCATTTTAATTCAGTTAGTTGGTTATGGTGGTTAGAAACGACAAATAGGCGTATCACCGTTTAGTTTATAATTAAAGTTATATTGGTATGCAATAATGATAATGACAATATATAATATTGGGGTGAAAAACAAAAAGATTTATTTTGCATCACAGCTAAATAATAAATCTGACATTTCCAAATACCAAAGGAGTATTAAAACTTTATAATATTATTTGAGATAATCTGCAAAAACCAAAAACATTAGACTAAGGCTATGAGTTATACAATTTTATTAGTTAAAAGTGCACTTCCTAATAAATCCAAGAATCTGGTGTTCAACCTATTATTGTATTAAAAATGTAAATTTCCCTTACTCAACTAAAATCGTTCACTTGCCTATTATTATTAAAAATGCTTGCGTCGTATCCACTGTCGCATTTACACAATGACTGCTCCCTTTTTATGTTCCCATTGCTAATCAAGTTTAGTTCAGCTTTTATATTGTTTTCACATTTACAATCGTCTATCCACAAATCGTTTGTGCACCTAAAATTTATTCACAGTAAACCGAAAGTTATATTTAGGTGTTTATTTAGGTATATGATGACTACAAGTATCTCACGAATACAATAGGACTGTAAAACCTAATTACACAATCTTTAGACTAAGAAAAGCCGAAATTATTTACCAATCGACCCAACAGCATCATGGACATAAACCTTCCAAAAAATATATATTCATAAACTGAAAATTTACCTCATTGCTCAATAAACAAAAATTATTTTATGCCCATTTTTTATTCCTTTTGTTCTATTTTCTGTGTGCATACTAATGCGTATTTGAATGAATAAATTAAAATACGCACATTTTTTATTTTGCAAAAATAATCTACACATACACAGGAGGTATTGTTGAAGGAATCATGGTTTTAAATTGATATTGATATTTGAGGAAAATAAAAGATTTAGCTAATGTAAAACCTGAACAGCAAGATTGTATGATTTGTATATTTATTCTAAGAGTGGATCTGGATTATAAACAAGAAGATATACAAGAACAGCTATTAGCTTTTTAACAAGTGATTTAAAAAGATACAAAGACTTTGTATCTCAAAAACGAAAAAGGTTATGAAAATTCAGTTTATATCATGTTTTATTTCACAAAAAAGTAACAAACTATCGCAAAATTGTGGCAAATTATTGTAATTAAAATTTCATTTCATTTCTAACAAATTTTATTTAAACAAATCAGACTTTGATCTATATTTTTATGTGTATGGTGGATAAGTTATAAGACGAAAATAATGAAACAAAATATCAAATTTGAAGTAATATTGTTGTAAGTTTGTATTCCTGTCAATGATGCAACTCGAGTATGACCCTGAACGAAACAAATTCAGACCAACTGTTTTGAGAGCGTTGCAATTTATGGAATTATTTAATAAAAAATAATTAAAATAACACTGCAAACTGTAAAACGTATTTGGAAAATTCAGTTTTTTTCAACAAGGTTTTTTAAATTACCAGTTTAGTTAGTTTGACAAAGCTTAAATTACACTACATTCATTATAATTTACTTTTAAAATATTAAATTGATTAAAATTAGCCTTCTAGAACGCCAAAGTAGACCACTGTAGCAACTTACCTTAATTTAGACTCACAATTATGCTCCTTGTCTATTAACAATGGATCCTCACATCCGCAATAGTCTAATATATTGTCTTTAATGGGAGAAGGTGAACATGAACAGCCCTGGAATTGATATGGATTAAACACTTTTTGCATTTTTCATGAAATCCAACAAACCTTATCAATATCTTCTTTATAGTCATCATCATCTTCACAACAATTCTCCTTCTCATCATGGTCCAATATTTTACCCCTTTTGCGCCGACGCTTGCTCTTCTTTGCCTCTTTGCGTATTTGCTTGGCCTGCTCCTCCCTAAGCAAATTTTTTTTTGTAGTACTGTAAGAGCTCCAAATTGAATATCTCACCTGGCAAATTCCTCATACAATAGTTCCAATTGAGAAATGCCCCTTACCCTTTCTACAACAGTCTCAAAGCTTCTGCTCAATGCATGTACGGCAACAGCTGCAAAAAGTTGACAGGTTCGTTCCTCCTCTCGAACTCGCATGTACATCCGGTGCAGTCTTTCATACATGCAAATCCCCAAACAAGTGAGCACTTCCTCTTGAGCAATTTCCAATGTCTTAGCGTGCCTCTCCCTACGGCTGAGAGAGATTAAGATTGTTTTTTCTAACTAGACAGGGACACTGTCATTATGGCAGAGACGTAATTGAAATGCCACATACCTGCCTAGAAGTTCGGGTTCAGCACGGTTAATTAGCTTCATTATATAGTCAGTTTGAGCTTTGAGGTGGATATGCTTGTCAGGCAAACATCTTTTAATGCCCGCATACAATGAAGAGACATAACCCTTCTCTTTTGATGGTTCTGGATCTTCAACTAGTAGAGTATAGGCTGCAATAGACCAAATAACTAGCAGTTACGTTCGAGACTACGAGAATACAAACGAAAATTGCGTCAACAAAATTTAACAAGAAAAGAAGAATGTTAGAATAAATTTAGCATGCTTTCCATATTTAAATTCCAGTATTAAATCACTTGTTGACAGTTGATTTAGAGAATTGATACATTTAAACAAACTTTCACATCATTTAAATCTAACCTTTTAAAACTTTAGTTCTACACTCTCCGCAAAACCTGTGTTTCCGTAAATAATTTTCCAATGTTGTGTGTAAACTGGATGCTTCAATAATACATACATCCCTCTTGCACTCTGGTTTCATACAGTCCCAGACATCCCTCCAGACAGGAGTTAGAGGTCTGCTTCTTTGAGAGTCCAGAGAATGCAATAGACAGCGAACACTTTTTTTATTCCTTTTTGGCTGATTTTCAATCAATTTTGCTAAACGAATACTAAAAACTCATGTTATAACTAAAAATTACATTTAAGCAGGATTCTTACGCATGATCATGGAATATCGAAGCTAAAACAGGGTAGGCTTGCTTTTCTTCCCTTATTGTTATTGTTCCATCAGACTTTACTATCACAGGATCCAATGTTGGATGACCAAAATTTAGCAACTGGATATATAACCTTTCAACGCTGAAGTGAAAAAAATATGTAATTAAAAGAAAGGAACAGCTACTTATATATAGATCATAAGAGTTAATACTCCAGACACTTTTAAATTGCAAAAACATAATAGACAAAAATTAATCACATGTACAGTTCAATGACCTTCATGGTATTTTGGCAGATTTAAAAAAAAATTATGTATATGGATAAATAAAATCACTATTTATAATTTTAGTTGGGACTGATAAACCTCATTTTTCTTACCTTCGACGACAACCGACACATGGCACATTTTCATTTAAAACATGCAACAATTCTGACTTAGTGATTTGCAAGGAACTTTTGAACTCCTCTGGCGATAAGACACCCCATTTAGAGGCAAACTCGTCGAGCTCTTTGCCCCGTAAAATTTGACTGTCACAAACTATTCCAGAAGTTCTGATGTCCATAACAAGCTATAAAAAAGCGAGGTTTAACATACTAAACTTTTATGACCCGGTTAAACAATTTTATAGCCAAATCGCCACTCAAATAAAAAACAGACATAACAATTATAACACTGCTAAATTGTTATAAATATTTTGGAATTTACCGTTAAATTTTCATCTACAACAAGGGGTAGTTGTCTCCTACAAAGAGGATTAGAAGGACGATAAACGTCAACCAGCTTTGGTAATTTCTCCTTATTACTCATATTAATTAAACTGATTTTTGTCTTAATTTATTTCAGTCCCTTTAATTAAAGTTATTTAAAAAATCACGATACGTAACACTTTTCAATAGATGACACACTCTGCCATTTGCAATTCTAGCAAAAAACACGAAATGAGAAATGTCAAAATGGTCACTTAGCGGGCTGATTTGAAATTTAAATAATATGTATTTTCAGCTATTGTTATATCTTCTACAAACGAAACAACATCTCTTCATAAAATAATTTACAACTTTGAAAAGAACTGATTGTATGTTTCCTCGTGATTATGTTTATGGACGATTCCCCGTTTAGACAATTGCTTAAAAAGAAGGATAATTGTGCTTGAAGCAACCCAAATAAATAATTACTGTAAACATAGCATACATATTTTTGTAACAAAAATAATTTAGTTAACACCGTCTATAAAATTACATAAACAACAAATAAATTCTATTTTTTATTTCTAAGGGTACATTAACTGCTAAATAGTATATTTGAGAGAATATCTTTTAATACAAACTAATAGTAGTATTCTGTGGCTTCTCATCGATCCCCATTGAATATTGAATATTGAAACTTATAATTTAATGGTAATTGAAATGAATTTCTGCAGAATAGTTGATTTTGTCTATTATGAAGACTATGTTTAAATAATTTCCATACATATTGATCGGGTCTAAAAACTAGTTAAAAACAATTTCAAGATCATACAACCGAGAATGTGATAATAATTGGAGAAGACACTTAAATATCAAAATATACTTTGCGGTATGATGGTATATGTAATGCATACATCAACTAAGGACAAAAGAAGAAAAGTGTTTCTAACTTCACGTGATTGAATGTTTTTATCTAGGCTAATAAACAAAAATTATTTTGTTCGTTTTGGTCGTCTGTTGGCAAAACGATGAAGTTGTAAAATGATGGGCGATCAGTTTCGTAAAGTAGAACAATATTCACCTAAATCATCGCCAAGAGGGGCCAGATCCCCCGTAGTATCCCGCCAGGATTCGTCAGGAACACTAAAAACGACAATTTTGCTGGGAAAGAATCCGTCTATTGTCCCCAGTGGACCCTTTTATTTAATGAAAGAACCACCGGGTAAAGCAACAGATTAAATTCAAACCAGGCCACTTATTTGCAATTGCTTTCTTTCAGGGGAATCTGAACTAACTGGAGCTACGAATTTGATGGCCTACTATGGCCTTGAACATTCCTATAGTAAGTTTAGTGGGAAAAAATTGAAGGAGCAGCTATCATCTTTTTTGCCCAATACACCTGGCGTCATAGACTCTCCTGGCCAGGACAACAGTACCCTAAGATCTGTAATTGAGAAACCACCAATTGGTGGAAAGGAATTGTTACCTTTAACAAGTGTTCAGTTGGATGGATTTAGATTGCATCCCGGACCTGTAAGCTCATAAGCATCATAAATTTACTAGAAATATGTATTATTTCACATTTTAGTTACCAGAACAATACCGACACACAAGTGCAACACCGATAAAGAAACATAAAAGCAAACACAAAAAGCACAAACATAAAGAAGGAGGATTACCAAGCCAAGAAATGACTGTTGCCGACTCTGTCAATGATATACATGAAAAGAAGCACAAGAAACAGAAGAGGCATGATGAAGACAAGGAAAGAAAGAAAAGGAAAAAAGAGAAGAAGAGAAAGAAACAAAAGCACAGCCCTGAACACAGTGGAGGCCTTACACCTAGCCAGCATTCTAGTTAAATAAGAGTGAAAGGTTTGTATGACAGAAAACTGTAAAATAGAATGTTTCATTCATTTTGGCATTTTGCCAAACATCAAATGGCAAACTTTGTGTAATATGCACAGAACAATTTGGTTCTTTAAAGTAAGATTTGTTTATAAAAGGAAATTCAGCCAAAAGGTGATACCTCAAATACTTCAAAAGATTAGTGGGGTTGGGGTTGCTTTTGTTAATTTATTATAATGGACATGGTTTACGAGAATCAAATGTGCAGCTTAAGTCTTCTTAAGTTACCTATGGATTAAGATGACTCAGTACCAGAGAAAATTATGTTTCTGAAGTAAGTTTATTTTATTTTATAAACACTGTTGGTGCATTATTAATCTCAGAATATCATTTTTGTTAGTTTTGTTTGTTATCATTTTGTTGAAATCAACAAACACTGTAAAAAGCATAACCTTCGAATTTCTATTCAGGGGAAAACTTCTTAATTGTTAAAAAGGATGAGTGGAAAAATCACACAGATAATAAACAATGTGAACAGAATTTAGGCGAAAATAACCAAAACTTAAAAAAATAATTCCCTGAATATGAAAGATAAAAAATATAGTAAAAGTTACTCAAAATAAAATTCTGTTTCCAAGAAAAGAATCGCTTTCAATCTTAATCTTTGTATTTGTAGAATTAGTGAATAAATGAGAATGAGAGTTAGTGAATAAATGAACAAATCTGGCAATGGACATGCTCATCTGTCACAAAATGTTAGTGTGAATGGGACCGTTGGTAAGGTGGTAGAACCCAACTTGCCAGAAGTTGGGGGTCGATCACCTTCAGTCTTGTGACATCAGGAAAAAACCCCATTTTAATTAAAATGGGTTTAAAAGTTTACAAGTTCCAAAAAGTTGTACAACAAACACTATAAAAAGCATAGCCTTCAAATTTACTTATTCAGAGGGAAACCTCTTAATTGTAAAATATATTACACAAAGAGTGAGTGTAAAAATCACACAGATAATAAACAACGTGAACATAATTTAGGCAAAAAGAAATAAAAACTTAAAAGTTTACAATTTAAAAACAAGTTCCAAAAAGTTGTACTGTAGAAACAAAAGTGTGCTCAATGAAGTCCTGCTACTAAGGTCTAAATCAATCTGTATACAATATATATTTTTTTATATTTTATCAAGATAAGGAATACATTTTTTAAGCCTAAATCTTCAATATATTCATAACTTAATTATTACATCTAAGGCGCGCATTTAAGAACACGATACAACGGCAATTTATTACATTATAGTGGACAAACTTTACAAAACGAAGGTGTCAGACAAACGTGTTGCTCTTCTGGCGGTTAGGAGGAGTGAGAGCTCTGTTATTTGACTAGGGACTTCTGTCGTATGTCGTACGTATTGCCATAAATCCTCTTCACAAGCTCAAGAAAACTAATCATCATAATCATCTCTAATTTTACAATGGCTGTATTTTCTTGGAGGTGAATATAATTACTGTTAAGGTAATTAACATCCAATTTGAAGGTGTATTGTCACATTTTACAAGCTTTTTTTGCTGTAAGAACAAATTAAATTTACTATAAATTTGTGAAAATGGATTAAAAATTCTTTGAATAAAATAATTTCATCTTTTGATCTTCTTGTTCTTTATCTTTATCAGAACTTTATAGATGTCGAAAGCTAGATTTGAATTTAAGCTGTAAACTTTGTAAAATATTTTTGTCTGTTGAAAATATTTTATCCAATAATTTTGTATTATGGGTTTAATTCGCCTTATGTGTTTTTGTTGCTATGGACATACATATGCTCTTGAAAGGTTGCTTGCTTTTTACAATGTCTTTGTTCTAGTTTCAAAATTTTAAAGCAATACAGTGAAAGAAAAAAAAATTGATTGATTAATATTTATTGGGTTTGATCATTTATATTCTATAAAACTTTTTTAGGCACAATTTTCGACAGGTTGTTCTTTGGAAGCATAATTTCCTTTCAGAGCTTCCATAAATTATTAATAAATATTTTATTACAATTTTCGTGCTTTTTCGTTTATATGAAAAACATATTCCTTGATTACACTTGATATTTTCTAGAGTCTAGAGTATGAATGTACAGAATAAATAGTAATTTTAATATTTGTTTGTTAGTGTATGTACAAATATATTAAATAAATTGTTTTTCTTTTTTAAAATTTATTGATACATGTCACTAACCTAAAACATAGATTCATCAATATCTTCATCTCGTTTTCTTTTACTGTTCTTTTCCAATGATCTTAAAAATTCTGTAAATAGCATCACTGGCTTAAGCAAACTTGTTTTTTTAAAGTCCTTAATTCTAACTTTATTTGTAGCAATATCATGATCATTATTGCTTATTAATGTTTGCTCTTGGTCCTTGGTCTTTTGATCATATTCATTAATTTCATTTATCAACATTCTGGAATATAACAATAAACTACCGAATTTAAAAAAAATCATTATACTTACCTTAGATCAGGTACAATACTTGGATCAAAATGGTCGACCGATTTGATATTAAATGGTACACAAATTTTTCCTGTATTTGGATGTACGCAAAATGGGGCTTTTAATAAGTGATTTAGCCCTTTGGTTACATTGATATCTAATCTTGGATATGAATAATGGAGTTTAATTTCCTCCTTCAGGTTTCGGAGATTTCTTGGTACTTGATTCTAAAATAAATATAGTGTAGTAGGTAATTTGATTTGTTCATTCAATTATCAAAAGTCTATTATTCAATTTAAATTCAAAAAGGAATGAATGTACAGTAATAATTATGCAATCTATTTCTTTTTCGATACACAGAGTAAAGGTAAGGTCAAGATGGAGGTTGGACAGACCCCCCAAAGATGATTTCAAGCAAGTGACTGCCATTCACTTACTCTGTTGGTCATTTTCCATCGCTAAAATACATTCAGTTCAAATGTAGTTCAAGATGAATGCATTTTCTGACTTATTCTGTTATGACAAACTTATGGAGAATAAAATTAATTATTAGTTTAGGGAATTATAAATGTCGGGAACAAAATATATCCAATTAAACTATGAAGGCCACTTTTAAATACCTTCTGTTGGAGATTACCGAAAGTACTTTCGAATGAATTCCACCTCTCTTCTGAAGTGTGAAATTTTTTCATATTATCCGCAAAATATCCTCTAATAATTTCATCAATAATCGCCAAAAAATTATTTAGTCTATCTTCTGTGCCCAGAATGTCTTGTTCCTTAATGATTGCCTCCACAAAGTAATGATCAATGATTGACAAGGCCCTCCTAAATAATATATTGAAAACATTTTAAAATTAAACTAAAAAAAAAACACTTACATTACAGAAGGATGAATATTAGTGGGCAACTGAACTTTCTTAGTAGTATTTACACCTCCTCTCACAATTTGTAAATATTCAGCAACTGCTGACCTAATATTGTCATTAAAATTTTGTGCCTGAACGTCACATACCCAACAATGAATACCCCTTCTTCCTGAAAATATCCATAAAATGTGTTTAAATCCAAAGTCTTCTCGCAAGGACGCTTCTAAAATTTTGCTTGCAATTGCCATAAATTTCCAGCATTTATAACACACATCTGCTCCAGAACAGCAAGTCCTGATATCATCATAATCTGTCATATCAATATCGAATACAAGTTCTTTACTCACAGGTGTTAATACACCTAGTGGTGTTCTGTCTTTTGGTTTCGTTATATAAACAGCACCTATATCGATTTTTAAAGGAAATTTTTTGTGCAGTTCATTAACAAACTCCTCATGAGAATTGAACGATAAAAATCGAATGTATATATCTCCGATCAGTGTGAACGAAATTTCTCTTCTAGAAAAAGTGTCATCGTTGCCTACAAAAATATAAGTCAAATTATTTTTTAAAAAGCGCTCTTTTTTACCATAACTTAGCCACTGATAGATTTGTCGCGACGGAAATAGGCGCTTATAATAAAGGGGCAACAATTCCGCCAAGTAGTTTTCTTCCGACGTCATTTTAACTAAAACTAAATTTATTTCATGAAACAGATACTTTCCCGCCAATAATATCACCTTTGGTTATTCTTAACCTCTTCCTCTGTCCATGGATTTGGTGTGTTTAAGATATGGTAAGCACAGAAGTAATCCTGACGTCACAGCTAACTCAAGGAATAATGAGTAAACTAAAGAAAAGAAACGAATGTTACCTATGTCCCATAACTAGGTATATACCATTTTGGTATTATTATGGCAAGACTATCATAAAAAATGCCAGAACGTCACGGAGTGATAAACTTCTTGAACTTTTAAAATTTGAGATTAAATTTTCGTTGTCTTTTATAGGTTGTGTCCTATGTTGTCTTTTTATCGTTTTTGTAGTAGAAAAAATTCATATTACGATAATCAGAAATAATATTTCCATAAATTTATAAGAATCAATACTACAAGCAGAAAAACGTTATCTCCCTCTTATTATTACTTGTAGATTTCTGTCGTTTATTGTTTATTCGTTGGACACATAATAGCTATTAGTGATATAGAGGCCCTGTCTATACGCACAGTACAAAAGCTTATGAAGGAACTATGAAAAAAAATTGAGAACGTCCATTCAACCTGCACATGTGAGAGATTTAAAATCTCGCTTGTAACCAATGACCTTGCGGCATTCAGCAACCAACATGGCCGCTGACAGATCATCAATGTGTTTAGGTAACATCGTCGCTTTATCTCAGCAACCTTAGCAATAGCCCAGGGCAAATAAAAAATATTTTTAAGCTCCATTGCTTGCCATCGTAAAAGAAGTCATTTGAAATACATAGTGATTAGGAAAATAAGTAAATCTACATTTAATGTAATTAAATTTTTACAATTGTGGCAATAGATATTTTTTTATATACGCTTAAATTGGGCTCATATCAAATTAGGATATTCACCCACTTTCTGGCATCCGCACAGGACATTTACCGATAACAATTTTTCACGCACAAAACGCCAAGGTTCCCTCCCGGTGTCGAGATGGCAGGTCTAACGTCTTACTAACCGAGCCATCCTCGGTCCGCGCAATAGGTGACGTTTACGAACTAACATATGCGACTATTGATAACCTATTTCAGCAGTCAATAAAATGGGCAAATGGCCATTAGAGACTAAACCACCAAAAAGACTTCCGGACCATCTTATGGGAGAAACCAGCCGCCGACCAACAGCAAACCGCAATATCAAAATAAAGAGTGCACCTATTCCTACCGGACCCACAGATATTTTCTATAGCGCCACCTGTAGTTTATATTTATTACCCTTGTATTGTCGATAAAATAAAAAATTATTTTATCGCAATATGTCCCCACAAAATTTGAGCGTTTTGGCGTTTTAGAATATAGTTTGAAAAATATGATCAAATATGGGGGAGAACCAGCAAAGCCGCTTCGAAAAATCATTAGGTCTATTAACGACTAAGTTCGTTAATTTACTGCAAAAATCTAAAGGCGGCGTTTTGGATCTTAAAGTTGTGAGTAAATTTTGTAAATTTCTTTAATAAACCCTAATATTGTTTTGTCACATACTCAGGCAGCTGATATCTTAGCTGTGAGACAAAAAAGAAGGATATATGACATTACAAATGTTTTAGAAGGAATAGGGTTAATTGAAAAAAGGAGCAAGAATAGTATACAATGGAAGTGAGTATTTACTAACCTTTTATTGTTTTTGTACTTCAAGGCTTTGGTTTTAGGCCCTATACTTACCGAGAGTTTAGGGAAAGTATTCCAGGCGATTCCAGTTCCCAAGAGTTTGCTACCAAAATTACTCAACTAAAACGGGAGTTGGCAAAACTTGATGAATACGAGCATGAGTTAGATTTGCATAAAATATGGATAGAGCAAAGTATTCGTAATACTACTGAAGATCTCAATACTAAAAAATTCCTCTATGTTACTAACGACGATTTCAACAGTTGTTATAGTCCCGACAATACAGTGTTTGTAATAAATACCCCAGTAAATCAGACAACTGTAAAATTTCAGGTACTAAAATGATGAACATTTGACACTAGATTATTAATGGTATTTTAGAATGGAAAAGATACATTCAATTTGAAATTAAAGTCATCTGGTGATCCAATTGTAGCACATTTACTTTGTGATCAGTCCTTTGAAAAAAACAGTACAGTTTCTAGAAAAAGACATAAAACGGTAAAGTTTTGGTTCTTAATTTTTAATTAAGTTTAATTTTGTTAATGTTTAGGTTGAAGAGAATCAAGAAGAACCAGAGAGCAAAAAACAATTAATGGAATATAATGATCCAGATATTGCAACAGCTCAGATACTCTTTAGGAAATCTCCCACAAGGCTTAGCAGCTGCCCCATTTCAGGTATTTTTGATTTTCAGTATGCTAGTATCACAATCTTATTTTTTCAAATACTCTGTCACTATTATACAATAATAATTAACTAAATATTTTTTACAGAATATGAACCATTTTTACGTTTAAGCCCCATACCATTAACAGAAGATTATTCATTTGGACTTTTGGAAGGTGAAGGCGCTTGTAATCTTTTTGACATAGCAAATTATTGAAAAACCTTATTGGTACTTTATTAATGTAATTACATTTATTTTGAATTGTTATTTACATTATCGTATAAATATACATATGAAGTTGTTTTTTATTCAAAGTTTTTTAAATTCATATTATTATGGTTTTTATTAAAATAAAGATTTAGTTATAAAATATCAAATTTCATCGCATGGATACTACCTGTAAAAAGAAACCCTAAAATTGTCTTTCAGTAACTAATTCTTTTCAAATAATATTGCTGCCATTACTCTTAGAGTGCCGGCTAGGGTACAATACAAATAAACTAAGCTGTGATCCAGACAGAATGCAGCCTAGGAAATTGGGAATCTAAAAAGAAATTTTTTAAAGTTGTTGAGTGCAAAGTTAACTTTGTAAGCACTAGCCTGTATAAATTTGTCATGTAACACAATGCCATAAACCAACCACTGAAATGACACAATAAATGTCATTAATATGAGATGATAGGGTAAATTTTCAGTAGTCTTCAGTCTAATAACTTCTAACAAAGAAGAAAGGGGAGAAGCAAAAAATAAAACTGTTACAAAACAACAAACCAATCCCAGAAACGATTTGGCTTCCTGTATATCTGTAGTTTGCTGGATATGTAGTAGGACTAATGATAGCACAATCATACATGCTAAGCACTGACGAATAATGCTACCCTAAAAAGATGAAAACAAAGTTTAGTTTTAAAAAGCAAAGAGTTTAATAGGGCGGACGTACCTTCTTAATGCTGTATATAAAAAATATGGTTACATATGTGAAAAATAGTAAAATTCCTACCGCGTTAACCAAAATAATTGATCTATCTTGAATAAGAAAACCATATCTAAGCCATAAAGAAGTTGACAAGCTCCCACTCACAAATGGAAATGAAGTTAAATCTCCACTACTTTTGTTTTTAACAATTTTCTGACAAGTTACACTTAATAGAAAAATGTTTTGTATATTTTATACGATAACTTTTGAAAAACTTACATGCCAGATAGAAATTGTATAATTGTGCAAAAGGAAGCAGTCGTCGCTAAAATGCTTTTATAATCTATTTCATTCATTTTGATTTGAAATCATTACCGCCCATCGCCAACCCGTTTCCCTCTGAGTAATAATGTATTTAATTTTGCCACCAGTACGTACCAGAGAGAAAATTTAATTCAAACTCGGTTTAGCACAAGCATCAAAAATTATCTTCTTCTTAATTTGGGCTTCTCACCCAACCTGCCGAAATGTCTCCAGTCACTCGATTAAAAATTTGTGAATAAACGATCTAAATTTAGAACTGCAATGTTTCCGTCGTTAGTTCTAATTCGGTAAATGGAAATTTTTGAATGAAAAGGGTCCGAAGATAGATCGGTTGGTATGGCGTTAATCCACGGCTTGCCGGAGGTCGTATCTTCTATTCCAAAAGTGTTGTGAAATACCATCGGTCGGTATCCACATATTCACACGTAAATCTAAGTTAGGTAATGTTGAAAAATTGTAAGGTGGCTGAGTTGCCTTATATTTCAGTGACTAAAAAATAAGTAAGGCATAAAACCTATGTCATTGCAATTACCGATGGTTAAATGGCGCGGTGAAGGACTACGACCTCAATCTAAAGGCCCGGCACTAGTTTCTATTGTTCTCTAATAGAAACTTGACCGAAATTTGCTTCCCTTGCAAAATTTAGGTCAAAACAAGAGCATCAAACAGCATACTTACCTTATTTTGCCATACAAATTAAGGCATAAGTTTTTTCGGGTTGGCAGGGTGACGATATCATTATCACTGAACAGTCAAATATTACCAAAAGTATTAATTATATATTAATTTATATATATTAATAAATTATAGATAAGTATATAATAAATTATGGGTGCAAAATAGAAAATAAAGAATGTCAAGAAAAAACCAAAGGCCGCCTAATAACTCTGAATTGATATCTTATACCTTAATTATATATAAAATTATTCCTTATTGAAATGTGCTATATTATAAAAATAAATTACTAAAAATTGCCATCTACTTATATACCTGTACAAAAACATTTGCTAACATGGATCAGTTACCACAATTTTTTATAACGTTACAACCTACCAAGAGAAGATAAGATAAAAAGTAAATCAGATATCTTAGTTTGCCATTAAACATGGACGAAATTTTGGGAAATTTAGTACAACCTCATTACAAAGAACCTTTCTTTTTCATAAATTTTATAAAATTTAACAGAAATTTCGTCCAGCTAGCGGACTCAACAGTACATTTACAGAAAAAAAGTTCCCGGTGTTGGAAAATTGTGAATGGAAGTCTAGAAAACAGGGATCCGCTTACAGATAACATATTTTTCGATGCCGAAGCCTATGTACTACAAGTTTTCTTTGATGTAAAGCTTGAGGAAACCGTTGCAGAGAAATGGTTGTTATATTATTGGAGAGGGCAAAATGCTGCAAAAGGTTTTACTCCTCTTCCGCCGAATGTGGCTGATGACCATCCCATGGATCGAATCTGTCAATGGAGCGAACCAGCAGCATTTTTCCAAAGTTTTTCAAAACCACTTATAGTATTTGCAGGAGAAGAAAAAACATTTGACACAGGAGGCTGTCACTTATTAATTATAAGGGGTGAACTTATTAAAGAAATGCATCTTAATGAAGTATGCTGTGATAAGAAAAGTTTAAGAAGTAAAGCTTCTTTCTTACTTATTTCTCCACACGATAAAGTCTTTATTTATTGGCATGGGCTTCAGACATCAGAGCATAAGAGAAGGATGATAATTGATTCAAAACTTCATGAATTATTGAAATCTTGCTATGTGGCTTGGTCCAATTTCACACAAATGGAAGTTGAGGAAGGCAGTGAAAATGAGGTATTTTCATCTACACTTACGGGGAATGTTTCAGATTATTACCACCTTCAAACAAATGTTACTTTTACCCCAAGATTGTTCTATTTAAACTCTACATTAGGGTATTTTAGTGTAACTGAAATTGAAAATCCGCTTCGCACACCAGACAAACTTGCTTCGTTTCCATTTTTACAATCGCATCTTTACTCTGCAGACCAACCAGGTAAAAAAATTCACAATATGAAATTTTTTTAAAAGATATATATAATGTTGCAGCTTTTTTTATTCTTGACAATGGACAGACTGTATGGTTATGGCAAGGTCCACGAACAGATTTGACTGAGCCAGATATCTTTGAAAAGGATTTTAACAATGCCAAGACGTTCCTACATAAGTACGCAATGAAAAGGGAGGAAATTCTTGGACATAGTGTTATAGTACATTTTGTTAATGCCTACCAAGAACCCTTGGAATTCAAAAATTTGTTTCCTACTTGGGCAGATATTAAATGATTGAGGAAGGTGCACTGTGATTACTTATATACAGACATCGAAAAGTTTTTGTTGCACCTTTGATTACACTTCAAGTGCGACAAAGTTACAGAGATCTCAAAAACCCTGGCACTTTCATTTCCTTCAGCTCATTTTGAACCCCTTCATCCAGTTATCCAGTCTTGCTGCATGTCCCAGCCACCTTAATCTTTGATCTCTTGCTACGTTTGTTATGCATCCTTCTCTATAGAGCCCATTAAGCTTCATATTAGTTCTTCTTATCCATTGATCCACTCCTCTTCTTCCACCAAATATTCTTCTCAAAACTTTCTTTTCAAATATTTCTAATGCTTCCGTCTCCCTTTTGTTGAGCTTCCATACTTCACATCCATACAAGACAATGCTTGAATTAGTATGTCCTAAATGTGAACACATAATCTAGTTAATTTTTTCGCTATCTGTATCTGTATATCGTGATTATGGGTTCTGGAAAGCTAATAAAGGGAGAATTATATATATATATATATATATATATATATATATATATATATATATATATATATATATATATATATATATATATACACACATAGGAGATAAGTTTAAATAGATGTCACCTAGACTCTTGTGTTGGGGTTATCGGAAAATTCAATAGGATAGTCAACATGAACCACACTGTAAGATTATTTGTATTGTACCTTTTTGGAATTTACATTCTTCTCTTCTTGGAGTGCCATAAACCATTGCTGATCATTCAAACTTGCAATTTTTATTGTATGTTTCTGTTTTTACAACAACTTCAGTAAGTTAAAAAAAAGAAAGTCTTTTTCCACATTTAATAACAGATATTGGAAATGTACTTTAGACATTCTGAAATTAATTAGGAGTATTTCAGATCTAAATCTACTCACAAATTGGAAAAGAAACCGCTGCTCTGTGCTGCGAACAACTTAGAATTAAAAATATTTACACATTTACAATAATTTGGCGGGTTATAGAAATATTATACATCACGACTAAACCTAATTAAGAAAAAAAAACTCATTCGTGAATATTAAAAATTACACTTATGTGCATAGCGCTGATCTCTATTTACAGGTACAATATCTATATTTACAAATCAAAATATTTCTTGCCGAGCGGGCCATTTTTATGTTCTTCATGGATAGGATGACTGAATTAAACAATAATAAAATTATAATGCGAGTAATAATTTTCGAAAACAATTGATTATATTTCTGGCCTCATGCAGTGAAGCAATTAACAATGGTGGCAGATTAATTAATTCCCACCTTAATTTTTTTATCCAACTTTCTTTTTTACGAAATTTCATTGATTCATCCTTGGGAACAACCCAAGTGAAGCACTAATAATTATTCTTGAGACCGAAAACATTGTGACATTGGAACACGTTACTGTACGAAAACTGCGATTACATTATTTCCCTGCGCTGCTGTTTCTTTTTTCTGCAGTCGGGACAGAACCACTGACCCTTCGGTGGTACCATGATGCCGACGCACTCAAAATGGAACCACTCAATCTCACATTCGTTTGAGTCGCAACTAGTCGAAAGAAAAACATATTACTCACACAAACGCAATAGTTAAAAACCAGTTTTATTAAAAAAAAATATCTAATTTTCCAATTATTTAGGCCACCTATAATAGCTATATAACAATATATCTATATATCAATATGGCCTTCAGAGCACAAACACGAGACGTAAGTTTATTGATTTTTCTGGGTAATCACTTATCTTCTACTTCCACCAAACAATAGATATTCAAAAGTCTAAATGCATTTAAATATTTTGAAGCCGGTTTTGTTTATCGGTGTGTAAATCGGGGGATTATGCAGTCATAATTGGCAACGTAAAATATATAATACTAGAATACAAAATGTTTTCCTTTTAGGACTGCACTCCATTTTACTTTTCATGGACTGCTGGTTTTTAAATTTTAAATGGATACTACCAAATAAAACCCCACATTACTCTTCATTCTCAGGACTCTTAGTCTAGGGTACCCTATAGATTTACGTTCTATTGGAATTACATACTGTACGATTCAAAATTCCTTTTTAACAGGTGAACAAAATGATAACAAAAATTTTGAGGTTAAGAATTAAAGTTTACTTTAGAGTTTGGTTTCAGTGGCGGGTAACATGACCACCAATAGATTTGTGACCTTCCTTTAATGGGCATTTGAAACAAATAAAAAAAAACTGAAGTTTAGCTTCAGGTAATCAGACAGCTTCAAAAATTACTAGTTTTTGGTAAAAGTAATTGTAAATAGTGGATTATGAATATTTAGATTTTTTTTTCACTACTTATCCCTTGTTGATTCTAAAAAGTTTCTAGTGTTTATTCAAGAAGTCGTTTATATGGTCACGACATATTTGAGTCAGTAGTTTGAAGATTTTCAGAGCGTTGAACAAAATAGGTTTAGTTGCTAGTGCTTCATTGTTCCTTTTTTTTTATAATCCCACCGTTCATCACATTTTGATAAATGACATACATGAGCAATATGAAATGTCTAACCAGATTAGGATAATTCAAATTTGATACTTACCCGATCATTTCCGAAACTTCATCATAAGGACATCTGCAGTAACAGTACAATTGAGGCTGCTGCGGTTTCGTCACTTCCCTCGTAGACTCGGCCGGTTCTGACTCTTCGACGTCAGATTCGTTCGAATCAGAACCGGTGTCGCCTTGATCGTAACGGGGGTGTGGCAACGAAAACTTCGGGCCCAACCTAATTGGTGGGATCATGCTCTGCAAAAATAATATATTACATATACCGCTTTAAAAGCTTTTCGGTGGGTCTTACTTTTCGTTGTGTTCGATAATCGTTGGGAGCACTACTCGCCTTTGGAAGACGAACCGTGATAGGGTCAACTGTTGGCGGCCGAGGCGACACGGCAAGTGGTGATGAACCCGTCTTTATTGTTATAGGTGGAACAAGCTTTGGTGAAGCCGGAGCAACCTGTACACGGTGGTACATGATAGGTATTATCTGTCCATAGGGCCCTCGGTGTGTTATTATTTTTAGAAATGCCACAAATATATTGGATTTACAAGAGCAAAACAAATTGCGTTCTATGCAGATGCTCTATGATTTTTATTGCCGACACACTGCAGGGAAATTTCCGCACTCTCCATGCTTGGTTAAGAATTTTCTAGATTCATTTAATCTCTCACTTAAAGCTGTTGATCGATCGATAAAATAAGTAAATAGACAGTTTTCAAAATATTAAGATAAATAAGTCTGAATAAACTAGCTTAACATTAAGTTAGAACCTAATAAGGAACAAACATTTTATTTAATAAAAAATAATATAATTATCGAAAGATTATGTAACAAACAGAATTTGTAAAATTGGATCAAATTCAATAATAAAAATACTGTTTAAAAAAGGATGATTAACTTTAACTTATGAACATTACAGTAGTAGTATAGTTTGATAAACGTCACTGTATTAAGAAGTTTAATTTGGCACCTTGCTTTGATTTGATTGAGATCTAATACAAACGAGCGCCTTTTTAATATTTCTGTCCCTTCTTGGTAACTCGTGTTCTCGGAATTTAGAACACTATGTATCATGGAAACAAAGCAATTTATATCAACTTTTTTTTCGTAAAAATGAGTTTCCTGTAATCTTTAAGATTTTGTCCCTAAAAATCTAGTTCACCTTGAATTGCGTGCCCAATAAAATAGCTTAAATACTGTAGTAACCTTATATATGATATATCCCGTTTTCAATATTTTTTAGCCCACCTTCGTTTAACTGCAAACTATTATTCAGAATCCAATGGTGAAGTTCTATTGTTTTTCAAAATAAATATTCGAATGAAGAAGAAATATATAGGGTGTGCCATTAAAAAAAAAACGGTTGAAATTAAAAACATCGACAATTAAACACGTTTCACTCACATCCAATTTTCGGCTTTTCGATAGTGAGGGGCCAGCCGGTTTCTCGCTCTCTTCGTCGCTTGAATACCCGTAAAATTTATTGGGGACTCGACGGCGCTTCGACGCCCTCAAGTTGGAATCGGTCGAATCTTGTCTGGTTACAGCATCGGGTTTGGCATGAGCGTTTGATGAATGCGACAAGAGGGGCGGAGTCTGAAGCATGTTGGGCGAATTTCGCGAGAGCGACAGCGTTGTGGGGGCAACGGAGACCGATTGGTATTGAGGATAATATGGAGGTGTGGCAACTTTGGATGTTGGCGGATCCATGATTAACGTCGCGGAGTAAGTGCGACGTTCGACAGGATCTTTCCTCTCGTTCTTCCGCTTTTTGCGCTTTTTCGTTTTCTTCTTCCTTTTCGGTTGCTCTGAAATTGAATAATACCATTACATCAAGTCTGCTTCTCGGTTGGTAATTTAGAAAAATTCAACGATATAAATATTGGTCAATTACAATTGTTGCTGCTAGTTGTGTCACATTCATGCAATAAAAACGAATTATAATAATAAGCCTTATTGACTAAACAGATGCAATTTCCAATTACCGAGGGGTACGCAAATCAAGAATTACCTTAGTAAAAATTCAGTTTCAAACCAAAAAAATTTATACATTTCCCAAAGATAAATCTTTATGAAGTTCTAACCGCAGGTATACCTCGCTTGGGTTTCTCTTTGTTACCCTCAATAAATAGATTCGCAATTCCACAATGACGTTCCAGAACCGTACTTCGGTACTATCACTATCGTCACTGGACTCGTCCCCCCACCCCCCTCAATGACTTCTTACAAACCCTTTTACTTGCGCCTATACCAATTCTATAGGGTTTAATTCACAGTGATATCAGGCAAATTTAATTTATTAGTTTCCCTTCTCTCTATACTTCTCTTTGGTACCATTGGTACTTCCACAGACCGATTTATAAAACTCAACTGACCAGAAGCTTAAACACTGTCAGTTGTCTAGTTTAAATTGTTATTCACTTTAACAATTTTTTGAAATTTAGATAAGTTAGGCATGGGTCTGTGCATCACTGCAACTTAAAGGACCTATAGCGACTCTCCAGCTCTCTCATAGCTTATCTGAGTTTGTCTTGCTGATTACCGTCTAAAGGTTTGATAATCGCTCTGTTGTGTAGCTTGTCTATGGTTTGGTTAGTAGGCCTTCATATTGGAGTAGTAAATGCATTCCTGTTTCCTTCCATTAAGCATAGATACCCCTTAAGCCGGCAGTGGCCATCAGTTGATCGACCATTATTATTACCGTCTTTCTTTTGTAGCTTAGCAGGTCTGTTGTCAATTTGGGCTGTCGTCCTCTCATGTCTCTCTCTCTCCACCATATCCGGCATAGTTTTCCCAGATATTTCTTTTTCAATTTTATCTTAATATTTTAATTTCATTTTCAATTTGCTGAGGTGTTCAGTCACATGAAAGGACTCGACAGTCCTCAATTCCATAGCTCTATGAAATATATTCGCTACATCTGATAAGCTCTGCATAGTTACTTTCAAAAGTCTTTCACCCACTATGACTCTTTTCATTGAATTTGTTTCTGCTTGAAGGTATGCCTTTAAAATAATGTCAATTGTTAGAGCTCTATCTGAATTATCCCCCAATGGGCAGTGAATCAGGGACGTCAGTCATCATTTCAATTTGCGCACTGTGAGCTCCTTGCTGACAACAGAATTATTGTAGCTGGTTTGTTACGCTTCTTTTTAGGAAGGATACAGTAACCATTATGGAACCAAGAAAATTTATTAGTTCCATTACCACCCTCCCTCAATGTACCGGTCGACAGAGAAAAATTGAAACAGGTTATCCAACTTCAAATATAGCAAGCATTTTAAAGCTATTCTTGGCTCTTTGATGTTCATTTTTTTTACAATACGTCAGGTGCGATGAAAATGATAAGAACGTGAAAAAAATAAAAAAAGAACTAATTATTGTACAGTAATATCATGTCCTTGTTCTCCTAACATCTCTGAATGTTGGCCACCTGAGTTGGCCATCTGAGTAACGAAATAACAATTGTATCAGCTGATAGAAACGTTGACTATGCACATGCTAGGAATTAAAATTGCACCAATTTTAAAGAAAAATTGCCAAGTGAGAAACGAGCTTTCAAGTATCAATTGCTGCACCACTGAAGAAGTCAATATTCAATTCCTTCCTTCGTCCCTGTAATAAATGTAATACTGACACAAATTTAAAATTTTCAGGATTAGGCTAACTTCTTATTAGAAAAGGACAGAACAAAAGTTAACTTTAGCCTTTGATTATTACTAAGTTATTTTAAGAAACGAGACAATAATTTCCACTTGCATTATATATTCATTGTTACCTTCTTCCTCAACGGTGCCGGCAGGCGGAGTAGGAGGCCTGCTAGTGCTCTCTATGAATGACCCATTGGGAACCATATTAGGCCCCATTTCAGCCAACAGTTGGGCCCGTTTCTCTTCCAAAATTTTTTTTGCGAATTTTTGTGGTTGCCTATCATAGAACTCTTCATCGGTTTCACTTTCACTAGTGTCCAGGTCTGATTCAGCTATAGGAGCCTCAACAGGAGGGTGTCCCAGTAGTTCCGACTGAGATTGGACTTGTGTTTCCTTTTTTTTAACCACTTCGTTTGCTGAGTTGGTCGTTTTTTGTTTACGTCTCTGTCTTTTTGCCTGTTGCTTTTTTTGTCCTTAAAACAGGTTACCAATTTAATATAAGTTAAGACTATATAATCTGTATATTACCTTGTTCGGTGGAACTTTCAGAGTCGGAGCTGTCAGAACTGGAACTAGAACTACCGGAGCTTGAGGTGCATGAACAGTTTGATCCACAAGAACAGCTTGAACTGTCGCTGTTGCTGCTGGATGAACTAGAGGAAATAATTTCTTTTTGAGTACTTTTGGGGGCCTCTGGTTGAGGACAGTCAGTCAAGAACTTCTCTTCTGGTTTAGAAGTTTCTGCTTCTTTTCCTTCTCTTTTGAAGAAGCAATAGTCATGGTCTACTCGCTCTGTGGACTCCAGAGCAGGCTGTATCAAAACATTTTGAAGTTACTCAAAAAAAAATTAGCCGAAGAAAAGTATCTGCCCGTCTAGGGGTGTTAGTGGCGCAAATTTAGAAATTACTATCAATAATTTGATCAATTAGAAAACCTTCAAATGCATCATCCGATTTCCAGACATGTTACAAGTTAAGCTTCTAACCAGACACCATTTAGTGAATTTTGTCTGTGTGCTGATGCTTTTTATTGATGGAAGAAATAACTTTCATTCAATTCAATCAATAGGCAGTTTTATAAACATCCTCAAATAGTTTTGAGATCAGTAGAATATCAATAAAGAATTCAATAAATTTAATTTCAGAATTTTAAAATGATATCAGATTCAAATTATAACATAAGATATTTTGTCAGTTTTCCTACCTTTACTTCTATTATGCTCTGATCAACCTGTTTTCTCTCCGGATCGATGCAGTAATCGTGATCCATCAATGCCATCTCCATGGTAAGCACTTCCACATGAGGAATTGGAATCTCAGACGTTGAGTCTTCATATTTATCTGTCTCTTGGTTTACAAACATTTGGTCGAGCTTTTCTTTACTGGCCTGGTAGCTCTTAAAGTTATCCCAGATGTTCTGAATAACTTTAGAAGAGTTCTCCTCTTCCTCAACTGTCTCCTGAGGACCAATTTTAACAATTTCTTGTCTAGACTCTTCTTCAACAGGTCTAGCCTCCTCTGTCAGTTGGGCACTCTTATTCTCATCTGGTTCTGTTACTGACTCTTTCAATTTTTGTTCAGCTTCATTGCTTGCGGCTTCTTTGATTTTTTCAGTGTCAGTTTCAGAATCGCTACTATCACTTTCAGATAAATTTAATTCAGGCAAATCATAAACATCAACTTTTGGCTTTACTGACTTTTGAATTTCCTCATTTTCCAGACTGTCTTTGGCTTTCTCTTCTTCCGTTTTCTCACTTTCTTTATGTTCAGTTTCATCATTCACCTCCGCTACAGGATTTTCTTCTTCAGTTGGTTCCCAGTGCTTTTTCTCATGTTTGATCATAAGTTTTTTCGATATAAATGTTTCGGTACATCCTTCATAGGTGCAGGCATGCTTCTTTTCATTGCTATGTAGTCTTTTGTGAACTTTTAAGGAGACTGCTCGAGAAAATGTGATGCTACAATCTTCACACACAAAAGAGGTAGGAGGCACACAAAAGTGGTAGACATGTGGCCATTTTTTCTGCAGGCATTTCTTGCAGAGCACACTCTCAGTCCCGTGTTTCCAGAATAGATGTCTAGTGATATCAGGTTTGTTCCTATTTAAAGAAAATATTATTTAAAAATGGAACCATCAATTTCAATAAACAATTGCTTCTTTTATCATTTATTTATTGGTGATTCACAGCGTGAACCACCAATAAATAAATAATTGCAATAGTTCACTAGATGCCTAAAATATTTTTTGCTTCCAATAAATCTTCAACAAAAAATTGCAAAACCCATAAAAAAAGAAAAAACATTTTTAAAGTTAATATATATTAATATTATTAATATTAATATATCTGCACAGAAATCTACAACTTACTTTCCTAACCTAACTTAAAACTTTCCAGGTTTTATATCATTGCCAAGCTGTATCATTTAATTTTGAACCTTATTTTGTTTTTCTAATTTAATTTTTAGATCCAAATTGTGAAATTTATTTCTGAAGTCAATTTTTTTCAATACCTGTAAGCAATTCCGCAACGGTAGCAAAAATGATGAAGCTTGTGTTTCCAGACGTGATTAGATAATTTGTATTGGTTGTGGCACATCTCTAGGCATACATCACACACATTGTGTTTCTTCCTTAAATGTACCATTAGACGGAAAGACGAGGGCAGATCATCACAGACACACATGCAGCAACGAAACTGCAAATCATAGTCCAGAACGTACACCCCTGGACAAAGATGGCATATCAGCTCACTGTAACTATAAAAGTTCGACTTGCACATGATACACAGCAGTAGATTCTTTGAATGAAACTTCCTGTTGTGCAGATAAAGTTCTTTGTGCACAGTGGTTGTATAATGGCACTGGAAACACTCAAACACATGAGAGAATGTTACAGCCTCATTCGACAATCCTGAGTCTAAGTTGAAAAACACATTTTGCATCTCTTCCAAGCCTTCCTTTATTCGTGATACAAAACTTTCTGGTATGAGCTCCTCAGCAGTAATGCTTTTTACAATTGCTGAGTACCGATGCTCTCCAATGGCATGTAATCCCAATTGTTTTCCATTTACTGCTATTCGACGGGAATGGTTGCAATATATACAGTTAGCAGCAGTGGCTTTTAAACATTTTTGCAGAAGAACTGCAATTTCAATTTTGTCAAGGGGATGCTCTAATTCAAGCTCTGTCACAGAAATGTCAGGTCCAGCAATGTGCATTTGAGGCTTCTCTTCTGTAACTGGTTCTTGCTCTGCTTCAATTTCATTATCAGTATTCTCAACTTCCATATTTAATTTTTCACTACCATCACTATCTTCAGCTTCTACTGTGGGATAAGAGCTTGGTCGGGGGAGTTTTAGAGACAACTTTGGAACTTTTCTAGTTTCCACCTTTTCCTCAAAATCCATTGGTTCCGATATAGTATTGTCTAGATTGTCATTCAAATTTTCTATATTGCATTTACTTAGTTGCTCTTTTGAAGTTTTTTGCTGGCAAATTTCAAGAGATGTTTCCAGATGGTCACTTTCGATAGACTCTTTAATTTCCTTTAGATCACTTTGTGGCAGATTTTCAGAAATTGGCATAATTTCAGTTTTCTCCCTGTCATTCTGAATTTGACTTATTTCTTCATTGTCTGGCGTTTGTTGATGTGTAGGCTGGTTTTCAATGTCAGAATCCACGTTTTTATTTGAATCTATGCTTTCCACTGTTTCGTTATTGGTAGCTTCCTTTTCACTTAGACTTTCATTTCTTTCAGTATCCTTTCGAACAGCACCAGAATCACCTGTCACATGGTTCTCAGGAGTAATCAATTGTTTGATTGGTTTTGGTTTGGTCCTTGCTGTTGATCTGGCCGTTATACAACTATGATAGAAGAAGTTTTCTTGTTCGTTAAAAAGCTTATTGCACTCACAACAAATTATATAACAGGGTTCATTGTAAACACTAAAAAATTCATCTAAACTGTTTTTCACACCAGGTTCCAGATTATGCCTTGACTGAATATGCTGGCATAAATCTTCTAATATGGAAAACATTCCCAAGCAATATAAACATATATACCGCCTGTGAAATTCTAACATATGCATGTAGAGGTTCCAATTTTCATAATAGGTTCCGCAGGCTGAACACAAGAACACTTTTCTAGTCAATTTAAAAGCAGAACAAGAGTTTTCATTCTCAGGAGCTCTCTCTACCACACTTTGCACTGAATTGCAGCGAATCAGATGCTCCTGCAAACTTGGAAAAGATTCAAAGCCAGACCTTCCACATTTTGAACACTTAAATTGCACTGCAGGCTGAAGACCCAAATATTGAGCATATTCTTTTAACCTTGGCTTGGGTTTACGTTTCACAGACTTACCCTCTACACCTTTTTGAGGAAAATCATCTGGAATTTCTTCAGCAATATGATGTAGCTGGGAAAGTTCAAACAGAGACGCATTGAAAAATGGATTAGAGTGTGTTAGTACTTCATTGTTCAAATTCCCATTGCTTTCCACATTATTGTCACTGATTTCATTGCATTTTGAAAAGACCGTATCTTCTTCTGTGTAAACATCACTATTTTTCAAAATCTGTTCATGGTCAAAGTATCCCACAATCTTTGTGCCCACTTCACCATCGTCACAAATTTCACTGTCTTTAGAAGTTATATCACTGTCTGTGCAAATTTCATTGTCCCTGACAGGGATTTCACTATCCTTCGACTTTTCTTCACTCTCTTTTAAATCCAATTCTTGATCTACTAAAGTTATATCATCACTTGCACTGACTTTATTGTCCTTAAGGACAATAGGGGTTTGATCTATAAGTGAAACACTAACTTCACTGTCTTCTTTAATTTCGCTAGGAATACTGCATTCTAAATCTTTCGTTGGTTCAAAGATTTCGACTTTATTATTGGTTGGAACACAAACTTTATCCTGTGTCACTACTTCACTTTCTTTACAGTTACTGTTAGGAGAAAAATTGTCATTTTCTTTTTCACTGGTTCGTCTTGATATTTCTTTAGTTTTCCGGATAATCTTACATTTAGAACGTTTCTTCTTTGGAACACTTTCATCTATAACCAAAGCATCACTTTCAGAACTGTACGAGTCATTAAATGCACTACTAAAAATGTCCGAGTTATTTTCTCCATTAACTTTAGAAGGTTCATTAGTCGTTTTGTCCTCTCTGGTATCTGCTGCATTCCCATCAGGTGAATTGGCCATGGCAGGACCTACTACTCCATTTTTAAAGCCGACCGGTACCGCCACATTCGACAAAGGACCGTCCAAACCATCTTCCATACCGATTTTGCTGGGATCTTCAATATTCCTATTACAAACAACTTTTTATTAATTTTATTTGGATGTTGTGGTTAGTTTTGTATAATGTCAAGTGATGTTTACTTGAATTACTTGAATGAATAGCGAATTTTTCACCGTAATGGATGCTGATATGTTACGTTTCATAACAGCTACATTTGAGGTGAACGAGCCAGAGGACCACAAACAATAATCAGTGTAAGCTTTGTTGTAACGAGAAAATTTAAGCGATATGCAAAGGATGTTTAAGTTTACAACTTCAACTTACTTTCATAATTAACGCTTTATTATCCGAGACCATGTATTCCACAAGTGTATTGTTTGCACATATTTTTTGAATAAATTTATATCTCCCCGCCTAAAAGGTTAATAAAATGGCGTTCCAAGCAAGCCATGAACAATTTTCGCGATAGACAGAATAGCCAACATACTGCACTGTCACGTTTAGGGGCCCAGGATAAACATTTTTTTTATATTATTTGGAAGATGCACTACAGATTTGAATTTTGATTAATTTGTAAGTCAATTTAAATCACGATACGAAAAACAATTTTAGATGATGTACCTTGTCTGATTATGAAATGATATAAAACTAACAAATTAAATTTCCCTGCCTAATGGACGCTCGGTATAGGGATGACACCATAACTATTTTACAGATTTCTGTTTGTTTGGTAAAAATGTAAATATTAGTTTTGGTTTTGCTCGATTTGCGGCAAGAGCGGTATTAAATGCCTATGTCCAAACTGTTAATCTTATTACACTGCTTAGGCACAAACAATTTTGAAAAACTTAAAATTTTTCTGGAAAATGGGTAATTCAATGGTAAATTTTCCCTTAAATTAAGCTTTAACCTTATATGTTAACAACTAATAACAGCGAATCTGTACTAAACTTTGTTAATACACTATATTTTTCGTGTGTTATTTTTTGTACTTTCAGATAAGGCATCGTTAAGATATTTTTCACATTTTCTTTTCTTGTGTTGTGTGTTGTAATTGGATGTAAAATAGAGATAACAACCAACAATATTGATAAATTTAAAAATGGGAAGTTGAGTGTAACAACTGAATTTGAGCGAGATTTAAATTAAATTAATTAAAGGAAATTACAAACTTTAAGTTGTTTTCTTGAGCAATCTTTGAAACCTTGTATTACGAAATAAATTTTAATATGGTTAACGAAAGGAAGATTTGGGTTGCCTATAGTATTTCTAAGTCAATAATAAAAGTGAAAAGAACAGAGGTGCAAGGTTGGAACTTCGGATGTGGGCATGTTAAGAACGCGACTGTGTATCCGTTATAAGAAAAAGTCACTTGTATGTGGAGGCAATCGAAGGACTAGAATAAATATTTAATAAGTCATATTCATAGTTAAAATTATGTATACATTTCTTAGGTTGTGATACGATGTAGGTAAACTAACTAAAAGTTGGACTGACCACACAGACCTCGACAAAACCTGTATTGCTGTGCCCGCTCCTTGTGTGCCTGCATAAAAAAGAATACCAAATATGAAATTAAGAACTACTGCGAATTGAAAGCAAGAACTTTCAAACTAGAGAAGGACTAGAATTGTTCAACAACATATGTGGCATATACTTTGGATATTTATACATTAGACGAAATAACATGAATTGTGGGACTGCCTTAACACGAATCCCAAATAAAAAATGCAGATGCAGTTTTCCATAACTCATGGCTAAATCCCACAAAAATAAATGTAACTGAATTCTCCAATAGTGAGGTACTTTATTCATTTCAAAAATTAAAAACTTTGTAAGTGTTGCCATTTTCAAAGGAAGTTCAGATTTGCAGTGCAGGTTCCGATTTATTAGAGAACAGTCTAGTGACATCAGTGTTATGCAACAAGTTTGATAATCTCCATTTTAGACAGAGTTTCACTTGACAGGAGCAGAGCGAGTGCTTATTAAACGAGTGATTGAAGAACTTTATCAAAGTAGTTAAGTTGCATACATGCATATTCTTTATTGTACTATTAGTTTGATTGAACTTGTGCTGTTGAAAGTTGTTTTTATAGTAGCGCTTATCCAACTTGTCACATAACATACCATTGTTGCTCTTGACCAGCGTGCGACTGTAGGGAGTATAGCTGCTTATCAGATTTTCGAAAAAAATACTCTTTAAAAAGGCGTCGCGTGAAATATATGCATCAGCGGACGAGCGTTCGGGGGTAAAGGCGTGTCAGTTGCCGCTGTCCCGGGATGCAACCCGATCCCTACGGTGGAAATGTTCCCGGTTTAAGCAGCGCTCCATTCCGTTGCAGCTTCCATTGTGATAGAGTGCTAATTCATGTTGCGAATTTAAATTAACTCTATTATTTATAAAGTCCCGAACGTATACACTACTATTGATTTTATTTTCATTTTCGGGCTTGCGGTATTTACATAACACCTATTTTGCCGTGTAGCGCCATTCGGGTCTATCAGTTGGCCGGCCTAGTTAATCGGTTTTAGATGTTTTCTATTTACCCACGGTTTAAGCTTTACAAACATATTAGGCTAGGCGACCAAGTCAACCAAACCGGTACAAGAAACTATAGGGTAAATGACAAAACGAAAATTTTACATGAGGCGCTGTGATTCTATCGATCTGTTTTCGATTTTATAAGAAATTAGTATCGGTTTAGTAGCGGTTTTCAAGAATCTAACTGATCGTCTTATATTTTGTTGAAAACACAACCCAAATTAATATTTAATAACCTCGGTGTTTCTCGCTCTCGGTATCGGCAGTAAGATGAGCTTTCGCACAAATTTACCAACTTGTAAGTAGAGCTTTCTAAAATAAAATGGCAAACTAAGATTAAATTTGAATTTCTCCTGTTAAATAATATATTATGCAACAAGCGTGGTAAACGGCATTTGAGTCACAAACGGGTGGTTTAAAAAGTTTACCAAACGTGTAGCATGTTATACTTTATCTACGACCGTTAGTTTTTGGGTACATTTTTTCAAAACAACACGAATAAATTCACTGACTTGACCATCAGAATTGACAAACATCAAAATTCAAGCCATGTGGACAAGAAACTCAAAAAATGTTTAAGTACTTCTGGTTTATATGAGATACTTGCGAAATTGCTCAGCAAAATATCCGACATTTATTAAAAAACCGTTTGTAATAATTTATGTTCTTCTTAAAATAAATAACAAACAATGTATACACCCCATATTCTTACATACTCTGGAAGGCAATTAAAAAATGTTTTAAAATGATATAATAAAAATGTTTAATAATGTTCCTATTTACAAGTCATTAGTGGAGTATGAGTAGGGGGTAATCTGGACCAATTAAACTTTAAATCATTGCGAACGAAGCTCGTCGTTTTGTAGAGATTTGCTTGAAGGAGCAGACTCAGGGTTTTTAAAAATTTGCAACGCTCTAATATTTTTGCTATATCAGACAAATAAAAAAATGCTGGCAGAAATCTTTTAAAATCGCAACAAAATTTCAGATACTAAAATCATCGCCGCTCAAAAAAGAATCGGATATAATACGAATTTGTTTCGTTGCATGTTTTGAAAGAGGCATGAAAGTGTTGAAAGGTTACACAAGGAGGTAAATATTTTCGTTTTTAGATGCGGTTAAAGAAATTAGTCGTTCTATTTAGTAACTTATAGCCTCGGTTTGCATATAATATAAGCAATTTTGGACAGATACAGCGATAATGTGGTAATAATGGTAATGGTTGTGAATTACTTAGAACTAACGTGATGGAAATGCATTGTAACATGATTTAAAGGTCAAACGATGCAAATAGAATTATTCAAGACATTGGCCGGTACAATTTGATGTCACTTTTAAATTTCTAAATACTTAACTTCCCCAACAATAACAATTTTGACTGGTGGTGAGTTCACAGTAGAAAAAAAGATGATATTTTTACAAGTAATGGTTTCAAAACATTCTTAACATTCAAAGAAGTTTCTCCTTCTCCAGTGTCGTTCCTTTGCTGATAATTGCCGTTTCTGTCCATTTCATGTAATGTCCATACATTCAATAGTGGTTAGCCACGCCTGATTTCTTCGCTTACCCATTGTGTTTTTTGGATGTTCCTTGATTTTTACTTCCAAAGATCTCTTTGTCTTACCTACGTAAGAGCTACCGCATTCACAACGTGTAATTTACGGAATATTGAACGCTGTTAATGATTTCCTTTAGTCACTCGTATATTAAAAACTTGTTCTGCTCGCGCCAAAGCAAGTGACTAAAGCGATGTTTATCATACTTGTTGCCCAATTTACAATTTGTTAAAGAAAGAACCTGTTACAACCCATGAAATTCAGCGAGCAACCGGTTCAAAATTAAAACCAAATAACGACGTGAAGGCATAAATCGAATAACGTGGAGCCCATCAAAAATTGAATCCTATTTTCACTTTTTAGACGTTCCTAAAATTGAGATACATATATACGACAATGAAATTCGGCCAGACATTTCGCGTGACTGCTAAATAAGTTTTGCAGTCCTTTTAATAAAATCTCATTACCGTTTTCGTCGGAGTACCTAATCTGAAAATTAAATCGGGACACAATGGGCGGGCGACGCCGTAAAAACACCACAAAACGTGTCAAGATAATACAAACTGAACTTCAACTCTTTTTAAATTGAAAGTGAATTTGTTGTTTGGAATTTGACGTATCACGTAGATCACGTAGGCTGGTTTTGATGAAATATTTAGAGTGGTAATTTAATTTTTAATAACAGAATTGTTAAAGCAACTTTTTAAAACCGGCACCACAGCTTTAATATAAAAATCTTAGAATAGAGTATATTGTGGAGGCTTGGATGAAATTACGTTCATTTGTGAAAATTATGTTGAGACATTTGGCAACATAGATTCTCCATGTTTCAATTCTATTCCTCGATTTTAAGAATAGAAATCTCTAATCTCTATTTTTTTTTTCTTTTTTCAAGAATAGCTGAAGTGGAAGGAATGATTTTCTGCGCATGCACATACCCACTGCATATACTAACATACATTTTGCGCATTTTTTTTTAAAGAATTAGTGATAAGTTTAATAAGGATTTCCTTGCATCAAATTGTTTGGGAGAGTATTATTCATTACAAATTTGCCATTTTAATTATTATATAAAAGAAAGAAAGGTGGATATCAAACCTTTAAACAAAATTAAGAAAATTTTTTATGTCTTACGCTCCATGAAAAACCATGTGTTATGCTTTTGTTTTCACACAAACTGATTTCTGTTTTCCATTGCTGACGATCTTCAAGATGGCCGCCGACAGTTTTCATTTGGCTTACGGAACATCCCCGTTTAAAAAAGTGCGGGTGCAGGTTAATGTGTAAAATTTAGTTTCAAACGAAAATGTCATAATCACTGGATGTGTTTCAATTATACCGTATTTACGACTGCTATATGTTGTCATGTTACTTTAAATATGTAAAGTTACCATATTTAATATATAAAAAGTGCTTCCTATTTTTGCACAACCCAACTTATCCACATTCTGCCTCCCAAATAACTTGCATTTTGGACGATCCCGTACGTGATCAATTTGAAAGAAAACCAATTT